GACAGAGAGATTTTTTTTTTTTTTTTGGCACATCTTATGGCAAATGGGATCTTAGTTTAGTTCCCCCACCAGGGAATGAACCCTTGCCCCCTGCAGTGGAAGTGTGGAGTCTTAACCACTGGACCACCAGGGAAGTCCAAGATTGATTTCCTTTAAGGAATTGGGTCACATGACCGTAGAGGTTTGGTAAACTCAAAATCTGCAAGGTAGGCTGGCAGACGGGAGGCACAGGGAAGAGAGGCAGAGTCCAAAGGCTGTCTGCTGGCAGAATCCCGTCTTGCTAGGGGGAGATAAGTCTTTGATCACATTAAGGCCTTCAGCTGAGGAGGCCCACTCATTATGTAGGATACTCTGCTTTACAACAGAGTATATTTAATCCACCAATGTATTAATAAATGTCAATCTAAGAAAAAAACACCTTCACAGAAATGTTCAGAAACATGTTTGACCTAATATGTGGGTACCATGGCCCAGTCACACTGACACATAAAATTAACCATCACAGTCATCTCTAAGTGATAAGATTATGAATTTAAATTTATTTGCTTTTGCTATTTTTCTATGATTATGTATTATTATTTTTATGTGTATTATTTTTATAATAAAATCAAATAATTTTTTTCAATAGTTAGGAAAAAGATTTGCTTTAGGAAGTCTTCTATAATAGCATGGAACTGAGATCATATATACCATTATAGGTTTTTAGTACATTGTGTATTTATGTGTGCTGGTGTATGTTTGTCTCTATACTGGGAAGGAAGTCTTTGGAGGGGCCTTCTCTTTTCATGTGTTTATTTACTCCAAGCACAGTACTCTGCCATAAAGTAGACACTCAAAGAATGAATGGCCAACAAAGGAAAAACATTACCCAAAATCAGTATTACCCCACCTCCTCATACAAAACCTGCCCCTATTCTGGAATTTTCTTGAACTCTTCTGACTCCTAGTCTATAAATGGTAACTATGTAGCATATATTTTGAAATTCTATTTTGTCAGAAATGCCTCTAACCCCTTGGCCTTTCACTATCTCCACTTCTATTGCATTAATTTGAATATTCTACCTAGTAAACGTTTTACTTAAAAAGTAATACATGCTTTGAAAGCAATCTATGATCCAAAAAAAGAGATGTTTAAAAAATAGATTAATTCTATCATTCATTTAAAAAAACAAACATACAAAATAGCCAGAAAATCTCTGAAAAAAGATGAAGAGGATCTGGCCCTACCAAATCTTAAAACATATTGTAAAACTACAGTAAAGGAAACAATATGGTGTGTATACTTACAACAGTGCACAAGTGAATACAGTCCAAAGTAGATCCAGAGACACCTGGGAATGTAGCACATGCTAATAATTACATTACACATTAATGGTAGAAAACATTACTCTTGAAAAAAAAAAATTGGATTGTGTGAATTTTTTCCCAAACATCAATAACTAATTCTCCAATTCTCAGACACCAACTGCCATCCAGAAATTCAATTCAATTCTGACACTATCTATAGTGCAAACCCCACAGTTAAGGGCTCAGTTTCACAAGACTGTCTCCACTTCACACACTAGTTATAAGGCCAAGGTCTCTAAGCTACCCACACTTCTGTCCAACTTGGCGACATATTTGGGGCTTTCCATAATCCCTTCCATGGGGAAACTGAAAAATATTGAGACTGACGCAGTACTCAGGAAATCACTTGACTTAGTAGTTTATTATAAAGGATACAACTCAGGCACACCCAAATGGAAGAGGTACTCAGGACCAGATGCGAGGGGAGTGACACAGAGATTCCATGCCCTCTGGATATACCATGCTACCAGGACATCAATGTGTCCCTTCACAGATTGTTTAAGCATTTTTATAACCCACCTCCACCACATCCATTCTCTGGAGGTTGGGGGCAGTGGGCTGAGACTTCCCATCCTCTAATCACGTTTGTTCTCTCCAGGGACCAGCTTCTATCTGAGGTTATCTAGGCTTCCTACTTTGACTCACACCTCATTCGCAAAGACTCAGGTGTATTCTAAAGGGGACTGTAGTAGGTAACAAAAGACACCCCTATCACTCAGAAACCCATGGTTTTAGTTAGGAACCAGGGACAAAGGAACCAGGGACAAAGACAACATATATTTTTTATTCTATCACAAATTCTTATCTAATTCCTTATTAAAATAAATTCTAAATGAATAAAACTTTAAAATGAAACAAAATCTTGAAGATACAAAAGAAAACATGGGAGAAATTTTAAAATATTTAAGTGTGTAAGGCCTACTTTACACAGCACAGCACAAAATTCAAACATGCATAAAAAAGGAAACATCTGACTACATGAAAAAAATTAATGTTTAATTGGATAAAAGGTATAAATACAAAATATAAATAACACTAGGACAAATTAATTGCAACACAGAAAACATAAAGAGCTCCTACGAATATTTAGAAACCAAATACAAAAACAGAAGACAGGACTAGCCAGTTCACAGAAAAATACAAATGGCTCCTACATATAAGATACAATTAACATCACTCTAAACAAATGAAACTTAAGATATCATTTTTCACCTATAAAATTGGCAGATAGAAACAAAATGTTAAATATTTTGAGGACATCTTTTCATTTATATGTATATCTATATTTATTAAATCATATATACATATATAGGTAAATGATTTAATTAAAATGTTTATTAGCTCAATATGATTTAATAAAAATAAGACAATGGACATACTTTGTATATTTCATATTTTCCTGTAAATACTTCTGCCTTCCCCTTTTATGGACACATAAAGTGGGGATACTGCAAAAATGAAAATATTCTGAATGTTTTTAATACAGTCCATGTTAATATTTTGACGGCCTCTGCCCTTTGAGCAGATGCCTGGGGATTGGTTATAAAAAATGAGAACACATTACACATGCTATTTAAACATGCTTTTCTCCCTTATTTGTGTAATTAAATATGCTTTCATCATCCTCTGCACTCAGTTTTCAAAACCTTTCTGATTGCCCTATCCTCAGTCCTCCCTTAGTTCATCCTCCATTCCACCAGTATCTTCATCACTAGTTCTTTGGTTTCTCACTGCCAGCAAGCATATGCTCAAACATCTTAACTCACAAACCAGGCCCTGACAGTCAGGACAAGCTACTTCCCCGAATTTGTCTCTTGCAACCTTTCCCCCTCCATTCTACGCATACATCTTTGGTTGGGCTTGACAGGCCCTCCCACTGTCTTCCTGTCTGATACCACTCTCCTAGGCTCTCTTCTCCTGCAAAGTATCTACCTACTGTTCACAACTCACCTCCTTCAGGGGATTCCCTGGCAGTGGTTAAGACTTTAGGCCCCCAATGTAGGAGGCCGGGGTTCAATCCCTGGTAGGGGAACTAAGATCCCAAATGTCATGCAGTGTGACCAAAACAAAAAACTTAACCTCCTCCAAAAAGCCTTCCCTGATGCTCAGAGTTAATACCTTCATGCTCACAGCACTTCATTCATCCCTTAATTATAACATCCGAATCTTTACTGTTCATTGTCATTGTCTACAAGTTTATCTCTCTAACTAGGCTATGTACTTCTTGTGGATTAAGGAAGGATCTTCAGGACTAATCATATATCTCCTACTGTGTAACTCATACACATGCTTTTGTGATTCTCAAATATAAAAAGCCACTGAAAAGCATTACACACCAGGATATTTACTGCAGCCTTAGAAAGACAAGATTGGGAACAACCTAAAAGCCAACCAGTAGGTGACTGGCTAGTCAGGTCATTCTTATAAAGAATATTATGCAGCTGCTTAAACATAAGAATGAGGAACCCCTCATTTCTATATTGATATGTTACCATCTGCAGGATACTTTAAGTGTGACACACCCAACAGCGTTTATTATAATTTGCCATTTTGGGGGGGTGGGTGGGGATTTTTTAAAATATTTATACACATATTTATTTAGAAATCCAGACAGCATCTGGGAAATTCAGAGTATATAAAGGTACATATACATCAGGAGAAAATTGAAGTACAAGGAGAAACACTTTTCATCATATACCCTCTGGCACCTTCTACATTCTGAACAATTTTAGCTATGACCTATAAAAACAAAATATCAGAGAATACCTGGTATCTAGGTGGGGGACGGGAACTGGATACTAGAAACAACTGTGGGCATCTGTCAGAATAAGGGAGTCCTCTCACAGGCTGGCTGGACATCACTGCTTAGCCAAGTCTGAGTTTTCAAGCCTGCCTTAAGCGCCTGAGGTCTCAGCACTGTGTCATAAGCCCGAAGGGCGGACCGATTCTTGCTTCTCAACTGTCACCGCCCCAATCAGGTAGCTTTCTAAAGGCTTCTAGCACTTTCCATCTTGCCTTACATCTCTTCTTCCCCAGGCCTAAGACACCTAGGACACCAGGCAAGGGTCCTTTTCAGGTCCACTGTGTAACCGCCAAAGCACCTAGAATACGTCCAGCACACTGTCGGGACATATGTCCAGACATACGTCCAGAAAACTCTGGTCACCGGGATAAACTCGAAAAGGGAGGAAAAAAGTAGACGGCGCGAGTGCGGAATGGAAGAGGCCCACCCTATACCCTAAGGCCGGAGACCTCCGCGAAAGAGCAGCCGCCTATCCAGTCACGCCCTGAAGCACGCGGCCGACAAGTTCGCCCCGCCTACGTCCTCAGATCCGGGGTCCACAAAGCCCGAACCCAACCACCTGCGACACTGGAGCCCCAGGAGCCCCGGCTGCCGGTCGTACAGGTACACGCTCCGCCCGAACGCAATGGCGCCGCGGCCGACGCGAGAGGCGGTGCTACGTTCGGCCGCAATCCAATGAGCGGCGCCGGCCGGCCCGCGGCCCAATGGCAGCGGCGCGCGGGCACGCTGGGGGCGGGCCCGGCGCGCCCGACTGTTCCAGAAGACCCAGATAGCGCCTCCCAGCCACGCTGAACCGGCTCGGGGCTTTTTGCCACGCCGCGTCCCTTTATCTTCCTCTGTTGGGTCAGCTATGGCGGCTGTGAAGACCCTGAACCCCAAGGCCGAGGTGGCCCGAGCGCAGGCGGCGTTGGCGGTCAACATTAGCGCGGCCCGGGGGCTGCAGGACGTGCTGAGGACCAACTTGGGGCCTAAGGGCACCATGAAGATGTAAGGCGGGACTGACGGGGAGGGGCGGGCGGGCACCGTGCACCTCGCGCTGTCGCGTGTCTGCGCCGGGGACCGAGGCCTGGAGCCCGCCGCCTCCGGCCCTGTGAACTCGCCACTGTTGCCCTTCTTCCCCTTATTGTCCCGGTTGGGTCGTATTTCTTACCCTGGCCGTTTCCTGGTGCTCGATTCCTTCTCCGCCGAGAACAATGCTGCCCGCGTGCGCGGCGCCCCCCTGCGCTTGGGACTTGAGCGCCCTTTCAGATTGCTTCCCAGACAGGAGGAGGGTGGGCACTGCGCCATCCCTGTTACCGGGGTACAGAGAACCAACCCCTAGGCCCCAGCTCCTGAAGATCTGGATAAAACCCGATTGTTAAGGGTCTCTTAACTTGATCTCCATTGATAAAGTCACAGTGCGATTCATTTCTGCCCATTGAACAGGCTTGTTTCTGGTGCTGGAGACATCAAACTCACTAAAGATGGAAATGTGCTGCTTCATGAAATGGTGAGAGGCTGCTGTCCTAGATCCAAAGTGTCTTGGTTTTCCGTAGTACATTTGATTTATAAGAAGACTTTTACTCTCAACAGGTGGTTTTCCAGACAGTGGGAAGGAGTAGGAAAAAATGTTATCAGTACTATTATTGACAGTACCGAGTAATGAGGAGCCCTGGAGTCTAATAAACGTACTTTTGAATCCCCTACTCTTACCATTTAAGGCTTTCTTTAAAGGGTGTTAATTAAAATTCTAATAAAACCTGAAAAACTAAGAGGAATGACGTAGACAGAATGCGACAGAATGGTTATACTTTTTCAAACAACAGTTCTGTGTTACATCACACCTCTCCACCGCCATCTGAAGGAGAAATAAAACTACCATTTTTAAAGTCCCAGTGACTAAGAATCTGAGGTTATTGAGAGGAGCAGTCATTTTACTCATCCCTAAGTTCCCCAAAACAGTTAAAATCCTAGAAAAGGAAATGACTTGCCTATGTTTTGAGTTTAGAATAAGATTTGAGGTTTTAAAAATAGTGTATCATGCCTTCAATGTCCAGATGTTTTGTTAATATCTTCAATATGGATTAGCTAACCTGGAAGGTGTAGTTTTTGTTGGTGGGTTAAGTGGTGGCCTCTGCTTGCAGAGAAAAATAGGAGTCATAGTTTAAAGTCGATGTCAGAAAAGTCATCTTTACCTGACTATTTAATTTTACCTAATCTAATAAACTAGTCTGCTTAGATTCTTAAAACAGTGTCCCTAAAGACGTAAAAGGCTGTAGTAGAGAACAAGGAGACAAAAGGAGTGCAGGAGCCATGATTGGATACTTTGTAGTTAAGAATCTGTGGGTGACAAACATAAAGAATATTCTGTTCTTCCAGAACTGTTCCACAGTGACTTAACATCCACTGTGGTAATATTTGCTAGAGGCTAAGTTTTTTTTTTTTTCCATTTTAAATTGTTTCTGCAGTGCCAAATAATAACTGGGCTGCTGAGCTTTCATTTTTAAAAGGCACTTGGTTTATTCTCACAAGAATCCTATATTTGTCATAAAGAGGCTTGCATGGATTTGAACTTGTTGCTATTACTTGTTAGCTCCATTACCTTGAGTAAACCTTCACTGGGCCTCATATTTCCTCATCGATAAAGTCAAGATAATCTGAGAAGTAAATTTATACATGAAAATGTTATTGTCATCATAAACTGATAACTCAGAATAGCTAATCATGTTTTTAATCAGAGCAATTTGTGGCTGCATACTTTGACATTTTGTGCAAATAGATTAGCCCTTTACACATTTTAAGTTGTTTTCATTTTAAGTTGTTTAAGGAATTTTTCTCTTTCTCTACTTGCAGCAAATTCAACACCCAACAGCCTCCTTAATAGCCAAAGTAGCAACAGCCCAGGATGACATAACTGGTGATGGTACTACTTCCAATGTCCTCATCATTGGAGAGCTGCTGAAGCAGGCGGATCTCTACATTTCTGAAGTATACTTGATTCTTGTGTTTCTTTGATACTTCGTTGTCAATAAGAAATAATCTCAGTTTGACTCCTACAAACTGATGTACTGATAGTAGCTGAGGCCATATAATGGAATGTAAAGAGCAAAGGGCTTAAATCTGGGAACCAGAGTCTGTATCCTTGTATGACACAAATTTTTGTGATCCTCAATGAATTGAAGAATCTTTGTTTGCCTGAAAGGTGGTTTTTGTTTTGTTTTTTCAATCAAGTTGCATTCCATGTATAATTTTTTATATGTCTATAACATAGCTTAATAATTGAGATCTAGAAATGGGATATTCAAGACAGCCTATTTTTAAGGAAAAAGTCAACAAAATTTAAGAATGCCATGAATTTTTTTTTAACTTTCAGTAGTTCCAAGGGTAAAGCAAACCTCAGTACTAATCTGATGTAGGAAGGGTTTCTTGGGAAGAGAGAGACAGTCTGAAAAACAGAGTCTGCCTGTTTTTCATTAGGAAATGATGTGAATTACTTTCAGGTTACCTGTAGAAGAGATGTAATAGCCATATTGTCATGACACAGTTTTTGCGTTTGGGGCGTTCTCCCTTGCGGTTTGCACAGTGAACACCCAAGAGTGCTCGGTAGTTCCCTTGGCTTTGACCCTGTGCTAGAGTAATGTCTGTTCTTTTCCTCTGCATTGAAAGGACTCTCTATCCTTTTAAATGTATTCAGAAAGTCAGCACATGATATTAATTGTGTTTAGGGGTATGAGTGATCGAGAATAAACTTTCGTAAATTTTGCTTTGTCATGAACTGTAGTTGCATCTACCTGAAGATTTCTAGTGTTAGTAGTGGTTTTGTAATTGTATGTTTACTATAGGGTCTTCATCCCAGAATAATTACAGAAGGATTTGAAGCTGCAAAGGAAAAGGCACTTCAGTTTTTGGAACAAGTCAAAGTAAGCAAAGAGATGGACAGGGAAACACTTATAGACGTGGCGAGAACATCTCTACGTACTAAAGTTCATGCTGAACTCGCTGACGTCTTAACAGAGGTATGTGTTAAGTTTGGCATGTGTCTGGTACTTTACGCCTATACTGAGAACCCCTGGCAACTGGAAATATCAGTATTCTTACTAATTGCAACTAGAAAGTGCTATTTAAACTCTTCACAGTGTCATACTGTGTCAGCTAAGTATTCAGTCGGCCATAAAGTTCATTTTTGTGGTAGTAATAACCTGATCTGTGTCCCTAGAAGAAGTAAAGTGAGAAAATCATAGTATTAATAGTATTCCTGGCCAGGTTACAAAGGTATAATCACACCATTCAGTAAAGGGGGTTTATAAAATGGAGATTTTATTATTAAAAAGTTCCCTGTTGTCAGTATTTTTTATTGTAGAGGTGTCAGTGATTCTTTAATTACAATGGAGGTTTCAGGAATGTAAATTACTCCAGCCCTTTACACACAGTGCATTGTGTTCTGTTAGCATGTAGAAAAAGACTTAGATCAGTTTGGAGATTTTCAAAGACAAGAAACTGCTTTAAACATCTGTGAAGAATAAGTACCATAAATGTCTCAACTTCCACAAATCAAAGTTATACTCCTCTTGCAGGCTGTCGTGGACTCCATTTTGGCCATTAAAAAACAAGATGAACCTATTGATCTCTTCATGGTTGAGATCATGGAGATGAAACATAAATCTGAAACAGATACAAGGTGGGTGTTAGAATGCTATGAAATACTTACGAGTACACATTTGAAGGTTACACAGTACCTATTTTTGCCTGATTTTTTTGAATTATTGTATGTTGCCTAGACAAGTTATCATTTACTTAGCAGTATTACCTCTTGAAGTCAATTTTATGTATTTATAGTCAGAATGATCCTGAAAAGTCAGTTTTATCAGTCATTTGGCATTTATTGAACTGTTGAGTACAGAGCATATAGGAGACTTTGAGGACTCTTAGAGATAATTATTTCAGAGACCTAGTTTGAAAACATTTTTAAAAGGAGGTGATCACCAGTTTAATAGCAACCAATTGTGACTGTTTCTGTGGACAATTTTCTGTATAAGAAAGGGTTGTGGCTTTAATTTGAATGGCTTGTTTTTGTCATGTTCTGGAATTTTGCATTTTCACAATTGAACCTTCTTAGGTAGTACCCAAAAGTCGTATTCAAGTAACTCGGGTAATAAAGTTAATTGTGTGAAAATTGTCAATATAGTCTCAGTGTTTTAATTTTGTTAGCATATTTTACACCCCCATCTGGAACTCAGTAAGAATATAATCTCTTACGTGTTTTAACAGCTTAATCAGAGGTCTTGTTTTGGACCACGGGGCACGGCATCCTGATATGAAGAAGAGAGTAGAAGATGCATACATCCTCACGTGCAACGTGTCATTAGAATATGAAAAAACGTGAGTTTATATCTCCTTAGAAACAGGAAAGGCTTGGCATTTGGGTCAAGTCATTTTTTTTTTATTTCCCTAAGACTCAGTGTCTCCACTCAAAAGGGCAAAATGCCTCAACCAGGGATTTGGAAAATACTAGGAAATAGCCTCTGAAAGCATACCAGGGCGTGGGATTGGAGCTTGGTGACCATTTGCTAAATATTTCCTCCCCCGTCTGTAATTTCTTTTTTAGAGAAGTGAATTCTGGCTTTTTTTACAAGAGTGCAGAGGAGAGAGAGAAATTAGTGAAAGCTGAAAGGAAATTCATCGAAGACAGAGTTAAAAAAATAATTGACCTGAAAAAGAAAGTCTGTGGTGATTCAGATAAAGGATTTGTTGTTATTAATCAAAAGGTGAGAAATCTTGTTTTATAAACTAGTATCTATTTTTATTTTAAAGGTAAAATGTTGAAACTTCTTTTGTTGTTGTTACAGGGAATTGATCCCTTTTCCTTAGATGCTCTTGCCAAAGAAGGCATAATAGCTCTGCGCAGAGCTAAAAGGAGAAACATGGAAAGGTACGGGTGGCAGATTATCTGTGTGACAGGAATTTCACTTTATTTTGGAGTTAACTTGGATTATTCCTTTTTTCCCTCTTATTTTTGTGAGTTTGTAATTTTCTGTTTTTACAAAATATGCATAATACGAAATTTATAATTTTAAAATATACAATTCAGTGTCATAAAGTGAAATTCACATTGTTCTGCACCTATCACCGTTATTCGTTTCTAGAAGTTTTTCCATCACAAACAGAAAGTTTGTACTCCTAAACAATAACTGTACACAGTCTTGCCAGTAGATTCTAGTTCACTTACTGTCTCTTATGAATTTGGTACCTCATGTAAGGGAATCATGGAGTATTTGTCCTTCTGCATTTGAATTATTTTTCACTTAGTGTAATCTTTTCAAAGTTGATGTTGTAGCATGTATTGGGATCACATTGCTGTTTCAGGATGAATAATACCACATGTTGTTATTCATTTATCTGTCCATGGACATTTCTTTGGGTTTCTACTTTGGCTCTTGTGAATAGTGCTGCTATGAGTGTTGATATATACTTGTTTTATTTTTAATGATGACCTATACAGTATCATTTTTTCCTTATCAAGAGACTGCACCAAGGGTTTTAGAGAATGCTTTCTCCCGCAGAGCTCTTGTGCACCTTTAGATTTCATGTCAGAGGAGTATTTACTGACTTGAGGAGAGTGGTTTAAACGGAGAGTTAGGAGAAGAGACCAGTTTTCAGCTGGTTGGTGGCAAATGGAAAGGCTTACGTAAAATATATTTTAGAACATGATTTTAGTATGTAATTCTGAAAAAGATTGCTTTCTAAAAAGAATTAACCTCTAGATATAACTAATAAAAGCACTTCTGCATCTCCCTTAAAATACTTGAATATTTCAGGCTGACTCTTGCTTGTGGTGGGATAGCCCTAAATTCTCTTGATGACCTAAATCCTGATTGTTTGGGACATGCAGGACTTGTCTATGAATATACATTGGTAAGTGTACTTTGTTCCCAAAATAATACTACTTTTTGGTTCATGAATTCTTCAGTAGTTAAAAGTTCTTCCAAACTCAGGGTAATGTTTTTGCTTTGTTTACATACATTTTGATGATTTGTGCATAGTAACAATAAGCCCTTGATGGGAAAATCACATTTCATTTATGTGACCTTTTTTCAAAGAAACTATTAGCTTTAATGTGATCACGTGGTGCCTGATTAATACCCCATTTATTCCTCCATAAGCCCCTCTCCTCTGGTCATCCTTGCACAACCATATCCTGTTTTTTAAAATACTACCTCTTCACACAGGGAGAAGAGAAGTTCACCTTTATTGAGAAATGTAACAATCCTCGCTCTGTCACATTATTGATCAAAGGACCAAATAAGCACACGCTTACTCAAATCAAAGATGCAATAAGAGATGGCTTGAGGGCTGTTAAAAATGCTATTGACGATGGTAAGATGCTCCCTGTGTTTATTCTTTCTGCTAGTCTAAAAGGCATGGCTGAATACTGTGTTCTTTTTGTCAGTAGTTTACACAGCCAGACACCATGCAAAAGTAAAGTTTTTCCTTTAAAATGGCTATGATGGTATGCTAAGTTTTTTCATAGCATGCTGTTGTTAAAAAGGGGATACAAATGAACTAAAGGCTTGCAGGATTTGCCACGTGCTCCTTAAATCATTCTGTTTGAGATGTTGCTTGTATCGCTTTCAAATGCAGTATTAAACTTGCTGCGGTTACATGGAATTCTCAAATTAATGGCTTTCCTGTGTTTTAATTTTATGTATATTTTTCCTTATAATTGACTCAGCAGTTTTATGTTCTTTGTATCTTAGCATTTTCCTCTTTCCCTCACCCAACAGGCTGTGTAGTCCCAGGTGCTGGCGCAGTGGAAGTGGCAATGGCAGAAGCCCTGGTTAAATACAAGCCCAGTGTAAAGGGCAGGGCCCAGCTTGGAGTCCAAGCATTTGCTGATGCATTGCTCATTATTCCCAAGGTGTGAATGCTTTTAACAGTTTTCTAAACTACACCAAAGTGATTCATCCGATGAAAGCTTTTGCTAATGTGGGTTTTTTCATAATGTGGGTTTTGAATAAATAGATTGCATCCATTTTCACCCTAACATTAGAACAGGTGTTTCTCAATATCTAATGTGTTGGTTCCTCTGGACAGGAGGCTTGACTATCTGAAGTTGTAGTGTAGGACTTATCCTTGAGTACAAGCTTGCTTTTTGTTTTTATTTGTTTTAAACTAAGATTAATATGGGCTCCCCTCGTGGCTCATGATAAAGAATGCCTGCAATGCAGAAGACCTGAGTTCAATCCCTGGGTTGGGAAGATTCCCTGGAGGAGGGCATGGCAACCCACTCCAGTATTCTTGCCTGGACAGTCCCCATTGACAGAGGAGCCTGTCAGGCTACAGTCTGTGGGGTCGCAGAGAGTTGGAGAAAGATTAGTATGTTGGTTTTCTATTGTGTGCTCATTTGAAAGTACAGTTTTTGGCTAGTGTATTGCTGAGATTGAGGTGGATTAGTGAATGGGTTAGTGATGTATATTAGTCATTGTGTAAAGTGAACATTAATATCAGTCTGCATTCATTAAAGTTTTTTTTAAACTGTTAGTTAGAAATACTATTTATTTTAGACTTGACTATCAGTTAGTAGGTCCTATCTTTAAATAGTTGTATTTGTTTCCTTTAGGTTCTTGCTCAGAACTCTGGTTTTGACCTTCAGGAAACACTAGTTAAAGTTCAAGCAGAACATTCAGAATCCGGTCAGCTTGTGGGTGTGGACTTGAACACTGGTAAGGAGGATGCAACCATTTGAAGGGGGAGATCTAGATGCTATAAGTAGAGTACAGATTTGGTGATGTTGCTGAGTTGTGGTAGGTGGTTCAGGTGTATGTTGAAGGGTTTCATATTGAGCTTGCTTTACTCACCTTTTTATCAGGGACTTTGATTAAAGTGATACATTTGATGATCATATCTATGGGTGAAAACAGGCTAAGGATAGCAAAAGCTGGAAGAGGGAACCAAACCTAATGAAATGATTAAGGCCCTGATCTTAGGCCAGTGTAATACAGATCATACAAGTAGAAAGTGGAAGATGTGCACACATCTGTGCAGTATGTGGAAGACCTGTTGTGGACAGCAGCATTTCCATTCAAGTTAATGTAAAGGTTTCTTTTTTAAATCTCTATTGGCGTGTAGTTGGTTTACAGTGTTGTGTTTATGCTGTGCAGCAAAGTGAATCAGTGGGTATATATATCCACTCTGTTTTTGAGAGTTTATTCCCACATAGATCATTACAGAGTATTGAGTAGAGTTCCTGTGCTATACGGTAGGTTCTTATTGTCTATTTTATATATAATGATGTGTATATGTCATTCCCAGATTCCTAGTTAATAAAGGTTTCTCTGGAATGAGGGAAATGATAAGCCTATCTTGCCAGATTATAGCTCAAGTGCTGTACTTTAATATGTACAAATAAGAATGTCTCCAGAAAAAGATACATGTGCAAATGTTTGGCAACCAACTAGAGCATTCCTGTCACTGAAAGTATTCTAAGTAGAGATCAGCCACTCATCAAAGCTGCTGTGCATAGGAGTCGTGGTCTGTAACACAGCATTGGGCTAATTGAGGAACTTCGGGTTCTCGTAGTTAATACTAGAGGAAGTGAGCAACCACTGATTAGCAAAAGCAGCACAGAATACTCCTATTAGTTCCTTTAGACAGCGTTCTGATCTTACGAACCTGCTCTGTGTGGTTTTAAGAAGACAATTACTTTTCAGGTGAACCAATGGTAGCAGCAGAAGCAGGCATATGGGATAACTATTGTGTAAAGAAACAGCTTCTTCACTCCTGGTAAGTTTGGGAAAGCCAGAACTGTAAAATAACATTTAGGGAATCTTCATACTCTTTAAAATTGGTACATTTTAATTTTCTTTCCATAAGAAAATGTAATCAGGTGAAAGTATAGCAACTGAAGCTATCCTTCTGTGTATGGAGGGGTAAGGGGGAAATTTGACATAATTTGCACAAGTTAGTTGGAGATTGAGTTGAATTAGAGTTCATACCTCATACCTGAGCTGTCTTGATTTTTTTCCCCCCTTTTCAGCACTGTGATTGCCACCAACATTCTCCTGGTTGATGAGATCATGAGAGCTGGAATGTCTTCTCTAAAAGGTTGAATTGAAGCTTCCCTTGTATCTGAATCCTGAAGACTACAGAGTGATCCTAATAATACAGCTATGGAATTTTGGTCCAAGCTTCAAATGATCTTCAAAGGATTTTCTTTTCCCATATTAAAAAAGGAGAGAACACTGGCACCTATTCAGATTCTGAAGTTCTGAAATTATAATTACAGTATTTTTTAAATTTCACTGCAGTGTCCACATACAGCAGGTCATACTTACCCAGTAAACAGGACATTTTGCTTTACCCTCAGTGATATAAAAATATTAGATAAGCATATGTTATCTACCTTGTTATTAAATATTCATTGAAAAACAAATTTTAATAGTTTAATAATTTCTTCTAATGGATGTATTTTAATTTATTTCCAGTAGTTCCCTGTTATTAAGCATAAGACTTAAATAACCTAAAGTTTTGAAGCATTCCTGCTTCCCAAGCATACTTTGGACTTTTCATGCTTTTAAAGTAGCTTCGCTAAAATGCTTCCCAGAAGTGTTAAGTTATCGTGAGTAGAAAGATGGAACCAGAGGCAAGAGGGGTTCAAAGAGCTGAAAGTATAAAGTGGCAAAATAGAAAAGACAGGTTAAAAACATGACTGAATATATGGTGACTAAGGACTAGAGATTTTCCGGCAAGATTGTTATTTTCACAGCTCAGAACCTTTGCTTATACTGATACCCTTCCTAAATCCTCCAGTGTCCTGTTTTTCTTAAATTACTGTTCTCTTCTAAATGTTTGCACAAAATACAGTAGGTATATCTGAAGCCCTTGAAAGTGAAGTTGTGTTGCTGAACTTTGTGTTTTGAGGAGTTGGCAGTTGCCTACAGTGAGTGTGTAATAAATATGAAGTTAAAACCTTTCTGTGCTCTCAAGATGGTATTCCAGGGTACAAAAGGAATGTGCATATAAAAGGGAAGGAAATCAATCCATCCAGTGGTTCACAAGTTAATAAAGGGGATTCTGAACTGGCAGGGCCTCTAGACTTTGTTCAGTCTCCCAGTCGTGTCTGACCCGCTCTTTGCGAGCCCATGGACTGCAGCATGCCAGGCCTCCCGGCCCCTCACCATCTCCCAGTTTGCCTAAGTTCACATCCATTGCATAAGTGATGCCATCCAGCCATCTCATCCCCTGACGCCCTCTTCCCTCAACCATTCCCAGCATCAGGGACTTTTCCAATAAGTCAGCTGTTCACACCAGAAGACCAAAATACTAGAGCTTCAGCTTCTAGGCCTTAATCCTGAGAACATAGCTTTTTGTTAATTAACCGGTTCTAGAACACAGCGTCGGAGAAGGCGTTGGCACCCCACTCCAGTACTCTTGCCTGGAAAATCCCATGGAGGAGTCTGGTAGGCTGCAGTCCATGGGGTCGCCGAGTCGAACATGACTGAGCGACTTCACTTTCACTTTTTACTTTTATCCATTGGAGAAGGAAGTGGCAACCCACTCCAGTGTTCTTGCCTGGAGAATCCCAGGGATGGGGTCGCACAGAGTCGGAGACGACTGAAGTGACTTAGAACACAACGTGGAAACCTGGGACTCTAGTCCCTGCTTAACTCCGGATTTCCAGCTGGGTGGGCTCCCGTGACCAGTGCGCACGCGCGCGCAGGGCACGGCCGCCGACGTGAGGCGTGCGGGGCGCGTGCGCAACAGAGCCGCAGGGTGGTGCAACTGCAGCGGTGCTCACGGGGCTCGTGTTCCCGGCATGGGAACTTCGCTGTCGCCGCTGCTGACTGTTCTGTCGCTCCTCTCCGGCCGGTGGCTCGAACTAGGTCAGTGTGCTGGCCTGCCCTACTGTCCCAGGAGGCAGGAGGAAAGGGGTGGGGCGCTCGTCCACCGCGGCTGGCAGCGCCCGGAGGTACCTCCCAGAAGCGGCCAACTGGGCGAGGGGGTTAACAGCTTATATCGTTGTATTTCACTTTTTATTTTAACTTTTAATTTATTATTCTGAAATCTTTTGAGCATAAAAAAGTTAATAAAACGAGCCTCTCCCGCCTGCCCCCCCCCACCCCCCACGTACCTGTTTCCCAGTTTAAACAGTTGCCAGTTTTAATCTTGCTTGTTTGGAACCCCTTCCATTTTTCCATTACTCTGGGAGGTTTAGTTTGGAGTGAATTGAGGCACGATATAGTTTTATTCGTAATTATTTAGTTTGAATAGCCAAAAAGACAAGAAATCACACACACGCACACACACACACACACACAAAGTGTCACTAACCCTCCAAATCTCTCTCTCTCACACACACACACACACACACACAAAGTGACACTAACTCTCCCACCTAAAAAATTAACAACACTCCTTAATGTCATTGAACATCCAGTTAGTGTTCAAATTCATCTGCTGTGTTCTTAAATTATAGTTTACTTGTTGAATTAATGTCAAAATAAAATTCAAATATTGCTATGTGTGTTGTTTCTTAATTCTCTTTTAGTCTGAGAATTTCCTGCTTGCTCTATTCCACCCTCCAGCCTCCCTTAAAGATGATGAAATCATTGGTGTGTGTCAGTGAGATCCAGGAAAGGGCCAAAGATAAGATTCTGGGGAACATGAAAACATGTGGACTCTGCCTTTAGGAAACTTATAGTACTTAGACATCTTTAGGTAAAAACACAACAAAGTAGTACATCAAGCCAGAAAAGTGTGGCCTTTAGGGCCTTAGTTTGTTCCCGTCAAATGAGGGAGCTGAAATAAAGATCCTTTTAATTCTATGATTTTTTTGAGGCATTCAAACAGCAAGTATGAGAGAGTTCATTCGATTATTTGATGATAATTTTTGTGCACTTGTGCTAGGTGCCAGGTATAGCCTGGGAAAATAGATGTAGTTCTTTTCTTTCTTATATGATATAATGGAGAAGAGGCAAAGAAACAACATGAGCAGAAGAATGAGTGGCAAGTTGATAGATGTATTTAAAGGCTATGTTGTTGTTTAGTTGCTAAATCTTGTCCGACTCTTGCAACTCCAGGGACTGTAGCCTACCAGGCTCCTCCGTCCGTGGGATTTCCCAGGCAAGTATTCTTCAGTGGGTTGCCATTTCCTTCTCCAGGGGATCTTCCCAACCCAAGGATCAAACCTGTGTCTCCTGCATTGGCAGGCAGATTCTTACAATGTTTAGATTTATCTTACTAGGACAAAGGGTTGTCATGTAGAGGGACAGAGAGGTAAAGAAAGAAAATCATTTGTTGAAAACCTGCCATGTGCTAAACATTTCACACATTTAATATAGCCATGCATTTGAGTTAGTTAGCTATTACCCCCATTTTATAGATGAAGAGACTGAAATCCAGAAAAAGTAATTTGCCCACAGTCATTCAGCAAATTAAGTGACAGAATAAGAATTTAAAGCCAAATTTTTCAGCCTCCAGATTTTTTCACTATAGCATTGAGCCTTACATATGATCCAAATATTACCACTTATTTTATATATATTCATGTAATTAATGACCACTTTCTTTTTCCTCTGCAGGAAATGGACAGACAACCAACATGGTCCAGCTGCCAGGTGGGAGATTCCAGATGGGAACCAACTCACCAGACGGCAGAGATGGTGAAGGACCTGTCCGGGAGGTGACGGTAAAACCCTTTGCCATCGACATATTTCCTGTCACCAACAAAGACTTCAGGTACTCCCAGTGTTCTTCCAGGAGAAGTAACTCCTGGAAGAGTTATTCTAATATTTCACAATATTTAAAAGGAGATTAGCTTGTTCACAATCAGAATATCATCTTTGCACGTGTTATCTGCATTTTTCAGATGAGGACTCTGAAGTCCAAAGAGGTTTACTTCATTTTTCATTAGTGGCCAACTGGGCCTGTAACTCAGATCCCCTGACTCTTGAGCCAGTGGATTTTTCCATGCACTAGGCATACCACTGAGAAATATGGGCAGAAGTCAGACACTCTTCATCAGGGGAGGAGGAGTCGGGAGAAGGGTCATAATAGTTGAGAGTTCCTTAAATTCCCTTTATATTGGGTTGGCCAAAAAGTGCATTTGGTTTTAAGTTAAAATGACATATTTTTCAGTTTCAACAAGGATGTTATTGAACTAACTGAACAGACTTCTTGGCCAACCCAGTATTACTTAGGGAAATGGAATTATTTCCAGAATCAAACATTTTGATTCCAGCTTAATCTAAGAAGCCATGTTGAATGCCTCAATGTCCCCACAGTGATACATTATGAGTAGGTTAAAGTAGAAAACGATTCAGCATATGTCAGTAATTTCCCTTCAAACAGTGGAGGGAGGAGTATATAGAAAGGAAGCGGAAAGGAAGAGGGGAGGATGGGAAGACAAAGCAAATGTGAAAAATGACATAAATTTTACATTTGTGGATTTAAAACTTTTTAAGATCAAAACTTGCTGGTGAAAACTGATTCAGGAGACTCAGGCTAAAATAAACGTAAAGATTGTCAGTAAACTCCTCAGGCCTTTTGACTCATTGGTTCCACGTCTAGGGATTTGTCTTGAAGAATTAAGGTTGTCAAAAAAAGTTTAGCTAAAAAGGTGACTTTGCAAATAAATGTTAACAATTTAAGGATCACTTAAATATATTGTATCAATATAACAGAATACTTAGCAGCCTTAAAAAACCTGCTGTCAAAAAGAGATAGTTAAAAAGTGTTGTGAAGAAAGGTTACAAAATACTACATAGGATATGGCCCAGTTTTTTAAACTATGTGTATAGAATGTATATGCATTAAAAAGAACTGGAAGATGCAGTATTGCATGAGGTGATGGATTGCTCATGTTTTTGCCATTTCCAAATGAAAATAATGACAGGAAGAACCTTATGAAAGCGATTTAAGAACCCTTGACTGGGGACATCCCTGGCAGTCTAGTGATTAAGACTCTGTTCTCAAGGCAGGGCACTGGTTCAGTTCTTGGTCAGGGAACTGAGATTCTGCATGCTGCACAGTGTAGCCAAAATAAATAAATAAAATAGAGATGTCATCTTTAAAAAAAAAATACTTGGTTGTGGAGTGAAGAGGGAGTGAATATAAACAGTTGTATCTTGGTGTGATAATGGATGGTTTTAGCTTTTTCCTTTTTACTTACCTATGTTTTCTCATGTTTCTATAATATAATGCTATACATGCTTTAAAAAACATTTTTAAAAGGAAAGTTATTAAAATCAAAGGAGAAATCACCTCTGATCAGGCTCACACCACATCATGACAACCATAAATTGCTAGCTAGATAGATGCATTCTTTTATGTTTCAAATGATGACCTTTTAGATGAAGGAAGTATAATGTCACCTCCAGCAAGCCCCTAAACTTTGCTTAGAACCCATAATCTGTGTTTACCTCTCTGGTAAGAGTCTCAAACCATTCAGATGGTCAGAGGTCAGTAAGTAGCTGTTGCTACCAAATCTCACCTCCTCCTGCATTCTCAATACCCCTTTGATGGGTGAACAGTTTCTTCTCATATCAGAGGGCTGACACCAACCGGGTACTCTCAGTCCAGAGAAAACAATCTGTCTTATCCTGGAAATCTGCATGTTGAAATTGGCTCAGCCATACCAAACTATATGAAAATCCATTCTAAAATCTCAGCAAGTCATTAAAAAAAAAAATTCATTTATTTATTTGGTGACATTGGGTCTTAGTTGCAGCACTTGGACTCTCTAGTTGTGGCTTTCAGGTTCAGTAGCTCCTCGGCATGTGGGATCTTAGTTTCCCTACCAGGGATCCAACCCGCATCCCCTGCATTGCAAGGCAGATTCCTGCTGGACCACAGGGAAGTCTGTCAGCAAGTCATTTCAATTTGACTCAATTTCTCTCATCTGTCTGAGGGAGATAGTAAAACCTATTCTCCCTTCCTCCCATGCCTCCCATGATCGATGTGAGATTAGGTATGTGATGAAGAGAGATCAACTCCCTGCCCTTGAATCTTCTCAGCAGCTTTATTCACTATCTCCAAAAACTGGAGATAACCCAGATGACCTGCAGCTGGTGAATGGATAAACGAAATCTGGTCTATCCATCCAGTGAAATATTACTCAGCAATAAAAAAGAACAAAAACTGCCCCCCCCCCCAAAAAGGAACAAACTACTGACACTGTCAACAACACAGATGATTCTTGGAAGCAGTATGCTAAGTGAAAGAAGCCAGACCCCAAAACTGCATACTGCATGATTCAGTTTATGTGAATTGATATTCTAGGAAAGGCAGAACTATAGAGACAAAAAACAGAGCAGTGATTGAGGAGGCATCGGGGAATTTGGGGGGGCAGTTAATGGAACTGCTCTGTATCTTGATTGTAACAATGACCATATGCTTTATCAAAACTCACAAAACTATACCCCAGAAAGTGTGAATTCTCCTGTTTGTGAACTGCACACACAGAAAGAAATTTTAAAAGAAAATCTGCTCAGGTTCTCAGGTTAATTCCTTGTAGTTCCTGAAGACTCTATGATGTGTGACTAATAGGATAAGGGTGTATGAGGTTTGCTGGAGCAAGAGAGGGTGAGGGTGGAACACAGAAGCCTGTCAGCTAAACTCTACGAAATCTCTCTTTTTAGGGAGTTTGTCAGGGAGAAAAAGTACCGCACAGAGGCTGAGGTGTTTGGGTGGAGCTTTGTCTTTGAGGACCTTGTTTCTGATGAGCTTAGAAACAAAGCAACCCAGAAAATGCAGGTAAGAGAACCCAGGGTTGCAGCTGGGCTCATGGGAGTGGGACCTGGACCAAGAACCCTATGGGTTCTAGAGGGTCACCTGGGCCATAGTAGAGACTCAAACCTGAGAACCAGAGGCAGGGAAGAAGCCAGAGAGACCCACCCTGGAAGAGCCAGATGAACACACACTCCTGGGATGTTCACTTTGTGCTGAGGTCCGCATAGAGAGAACCTGTAAAGATGCAGATAATACACAGGGTTCAGGGTACTCCCTGGACCAGCCAGAGAACCCCTGGAGAAGCCTCCTCCTAATAAGGGTGGTGAGGTGTCAAACTTTAAAGATTCTGAACACAGGGGCTTCCCTGGTGGCTCAGTGGTAAAGAATCTGCCTGCCAACGCAGGAGATGGGGGTTTGATCCCTGATCCAGGAAGATCCCACATGCCAAGGAGTGACTAAGGCCATGTGCTACAACTACTGAGCCTGTGCTCTAGAGCCTAGGAGCTGCAACTACCAAAGCCCATGAGCCTCGATAAGAGAACCCACCGCAACGAGAAGCCCGTGTACCGCAACTAGAGAGTAGCCCCGCTCACCCTAGCTAGAGGAAAGCCAGCGCAGCAGCAAACACCCCGCACAGCCATAAATAATAAATAAGTAAAAGATCCCAGACACAATCTCACTTGGACCACCTGAGTCTCAGCCTGAAGTCTCTGCCTCCTGGGTGTCCGTCAGGAAGGGGCCTCGCTGGGCCAGAGCACCTTGTAATTGTACTCCTTCTTTTTTGCAGTCTCTCCTCTGGTGGCTCCCCGTGGAAAGGGCATTCTGGAGGCAGGTAAGGGTTGGTTCCTCTGTCTTGTTTTCTGCTGCTGCTGACTCTCATTGTGGAAGCCTGGCTTCCCATGATCCCTTGCCCATCTGGGAATACTGAGTTTAAAAGGATGACGGAGAAATTTCAGGGAAGCAGCCAAGTTGGCCTGTGCGCTCTGCCCCAGTCCTTTTACCCTGGCCCGTCCCCTTTGTCCACTTTCTCCCTTTCGTCTCCTGTAGTCCTGTCTGTCTCTGGACCTCTCCTCACTCACCAGGCTCTCTCTTCCTACTTCCTTGCTCCATCTAGTGGTAAAAGCTGAACACAGGCATCCTAAGCGTAGCCTTCCTCAGACTTCCACGAGCTCCCAGAAGCTTGTCTCACTTCATCCTGGCTATCAGCCTGCAGGTCCTGGCTCTGGCATCCGAGAGAAACTGGAGTTCCCAGTGGTACACGTGAGCTGGAACGATGCCCGTGCCTACTGTGCTTGGCGGGGGAAACGGCTGCCCACTGAGGAAGAGTGGGAGTTTGCTGCCCGAGGGGGCTTGAAGGGTATAGAGATGCCAGGGCGATCTCCCTTGATTCTTTCTCTCCATCCTGCCTTGCATGGGGGTGGGGGTTGGGCTTCAAAGGGTGGGACGGGCTCACACTCCCTGGAGTAGTGCTTCTTACACTCTGTGGTCATGGATCAGTTGTTACTGTTACTTCTAATCTGTCTCAAACCAGTACTTCCATAAAATACCATAAAAATAACTAGAAAATGGAATGAAAATTTAACTAGTGGAGATTCCATAGACATGTGCCACTTCAGATAAATATAATCAGAACCACATGGCATGAGGAAAAGTGTTACCTACACTGGATACCTTTTCCATAGCTGTGGAGGGGTTAATGTGACAAACAGCTGTTTGTTCATAACTCAGTTATTTTTCAATCCTAACTAAACAAAAAGTTAGAGTGAAATAGCAATTCCCCATATTCACTGCCTCTACACAGTCTTTGAATGAACACCAGCTATACCCATAGTCAGTATTGTTAATGTGATAAATGAGATTCCTTGTTCATTGATCCAGTCTTAAGTCCAATGAACAAGTCTCTCCATGCTTACCCTCAGTTTCTATACTTACCCCAGCATGAGTGGGTAACACATAGTTTACAGAATGGCACTGGTCCATAAACCACACCTAGGATTGTGCTGTCCAGGAACAGATCAAAGTCAGGGGCTCTGAGTGCAGTTCTGTGAGGGCAAGGGAAGGGCATGAGATGTCAAAGTGAGTCATCTTACTCTTCTTTCTCATCACCTCCTCTCTTCCTTTCGGTCCCCTCGCTCCTTCTGTCTTTCCCTTCTTCCCCAACCCTTCACCACTCCCCTCCGCTGTCTCCTTGCCCACCTGGCAGGTCAGGTGTACCCCTGGGGAAACAAGTTCCAGCCAAACCGCACCAACCTGTGGCAGGTAAGACAAGTTCCTCGCCCTTGTTCTTTTCTCAGGGTGGTAAAGGGGTAAGGCGAAAGACAGTGTAGTGGGGCTGCATAGTAAAGATGAGCAGTGTGTGCTCGGGAGCACATCCCTGCCTGGGACGGTGCGGGAGTGACTGGATGGTGAACGTGCCATTTGAGCTGGTGGACCTGGAGCTTGCCAGGAGAAAAGTGGAGGAAGCAATATGCATGTCAGCAGTGGGGAAGGGTACAGCATGTTCAGAGACGTGACAGACTCCGAAGGCTGGTGCCCAGAGCCACTGCACTCCAATCGAATGAATAAGTTGAACAAATGACGTCAGCAAACACTGGTTACTTGTTCCAGAATCTTGGTGGTAAAGAGCAGGAGGTGAGGAAGGCAGGGTCAGGGCAGGTGAGGGGGAGTGATGCTTGTTGGTGGTGGAAGGGCAGGCGAAGGTACAGGGGAACACTGGTTCCTGTAGGGAGAGGCGGGGTACAGAGCGGGCAGATGGCGCCTTTTCTCCGAAGGCACATGGGGCTCACGTGGCTGAGGGAAGTCGCTGAGAGTGAAGAAGTTGTGGGTGGGCTGGGTGGGTGTGGACACACGGGGAACCACACAATTCCTAATCCAGTCAGGAGGTCATGGTGGAGGACATGAGGCAGCTGGCTTGGGACCTCAGGTCACTGCCCCATGCCCTTCCCCTGCCCCAGAGGGTGCCTCAAGATGGCCTTGGTTAAAACCCCTCTGGGCAAGTGGACGGTAAATCCTGAAGCCTAAACATTCCCTCCCACCCACCCCAGGGAAAGTTCCCCAAGGGCGACAAGGCTGAGGATGGCTTCCATGGTGTCTCCCCTGTGAATGCTTTCCCCCCACAGAACGACTACGGTAAGACTGCACAGCGGGTTGCTGTCAGCGTTCATAGGTTGGTTGGTGGAATGGTTCTGCCTGGTGCTTGAGGCAGGAGAAGCAGCGCTGGGAAGCATTTGGTCCCCCAGGCTGTTGTTGGTCAGGGCGGGTGGGGGTGGCATACCCAGCCAGGGCCTGACCTGCCACTTTGCCGCAGGGCTCTATGACCTCGTGGGCAACGTATGGGAGTGGACGGCGTCACAGTACCAGGCTGCCGACCAGGACATGCGTGTCCTCCGGGGGGCGTCCTGGATCGACACATCCGACGGCTCTGCCAACCACCGGGCGCGTGTCACCACCAGGTGCGGGGCTGGGTCCTGGTCTTTTGGAGCACAGGTAGCACCGGAGCTGGTGTGGGCACTGCTTCCACACCTCTCTCTCCACTGGGGGTGTGTGGGTCCAGAAGAGAAAGCAAGCCAAACTCACCAGGTAAAGCCAGGAGCCCGGTGCCTTTTCCTGCCAGCTCTCAGCACCGAGGGAGACTGTGTCTGACGTCTTAATATGTGGGTTTTTCTCTTCTCCTCATAGCTAGGCATGCACAGGGAGGGGACTGGAATGGCCACATCAATAGGTCATGGCCAGGGATCATTGAAATATTAACTTTTCTAACAAGAGGGCAAGTAAAAAGACATTTTCTGCAACCATTTTGTTTTACAATCAAGGAAAAATAGACTCAGGGAGGCCCTGGGACCTGCTCGTTTCATACGGATGATTAGTGACAGTTAGTGCTGGCCCCTGAACGGTAGAGTTCCCAGCTCCCAAATTGCCTTCTAGGACTTTCTGCTTTGTCTGTAGATTTGTTTTGATTAATCTCCCTACAGCTCCTCCTGCACCTGGATTCCGTAAGGATGGTAGAGGGGCGCTGTGGATTAGCCTCACCTTTTTCTGTTTTGTAATGTTTATTTATTTATGTGTTTGCCTGCACTGCATCAGGCAGGATCTTCCATTGTGACTCACAGACTCTCTAGTTGTGGCACTCAGGCTCAGCTGCAGTGCACCTGCTTACTTGCCCCAAGGAATGTGGGATCTTCATTCCCCGGCCAGGGATCGAACCCCACTCCCTGCATTGCAAGGCGGATTTTTAACCACTGAGCCACCAGGAAGTCTTTCCCCTTTTACCTTAGGACAAAGTAGTGGAGAAAGGATTCGTCTGGGGACCAGGAAATTGGGTTTGCTGCTGATTCCGCTGAATCAGTGGTGGCCCTTGGGCAAGACATTTAAATCTTCCTGGTATCTGATTCTGGGGTCTGTGAGATGGTGAACAAAACCTACCCTCCAGAGCAGTAAGAGAAATAGCAAATGCAGTAATCCATGTGAAAGTTCTTTGAAAAGTGTGAGTACTGATTGACACTATGATGTTCTCACTTGTTGCCGACAGGTTCATTTTGACTGAGTTATTAGTCTAAACTACCAACAGTTGGAAGTTATTAGGCATGGCCTTTCCTGCCTTTTATGCAGTCTCAGGACCACCCTCTCTTCCTCCACCCTGTCCCAAGGTCCCTTCTTACCTCTCCCACTCCCCAGGAATGGCACGCCCTCTGGACCTGCCCTCATACCACTTTTCTTTCCAAACCAGGCCCTCCCCAGTCCCCAGCCCCCAAATCTCCCAGACGACAGCAGGCCCTGGGAGCTGGAGCAGGAGAGCTGAGTGAGGCCCAGGCCCCTTTCTCAGCAAATGTCCGTTCTCTCTCCGCTTCTCTGGTGGCAGGATGGGCAACACTCCAGATTCTGCCTCAGACAACCTAGGCTTCCGCTGTGCTTCCAGTGCAGGCCGACCACCCGGGGAGCTGTGAGTGGCCATGCAGAAACCAGAAGAGTCCTGTGGCACCCAGGCCACTCCCCAGCCACATTCCAAACACAGCCAGACTCCAGATGACCTCCATCCCCTTCCCCATCCTCTGTGACTGGCACCTCTCCCCAGGGCAGGAAAGGACCCTGACCTCCTCAGGGGTGACACTGTGTCTTGGAGAAGGGGCCCAAGTTATTGATTGTGGCCAGGAGCTGGATGTTTCTCTTAGAGGTCCGATATTGACCACATAGGAGGCCACATACTCAAACAGTTGGGGCACAGTGCTCAGAAAGGCAGTTTGTGAAAAAATTTTCAATCTGTTCCTTCCCCCTTTCATGATGTCTGACCCAGGGATCTGACATTATTCAAGGCAGAATCTCCCCCAACCCAGAAATCAAACCAGGGTCTCATGTATTGCAGGTGGATTCTTTACCAACTGAGCTCTCAAGGAATCCAGAATCTCCCCAGGCCTCCTTATTCTCCCAGCAAGTTGCCATAGAAAGAAAATGATACCTTTATTTGCCTTATTTGTGGGGTTTCACACATCTCCAAGGGAACCTGGTTTCCAGCACATGAAATGCAGTTCCATGGGCTCTTTAAAGCTCAGTGTCAGTGTTAAAAGGGTCTAGGAGAACCATGGATTTACCAGATGAGACTGTGCACCATGGGAGTCACAGAATGAATGATACTCAGAAGAAACAGCAGATGGGTCCCTTTCTACTGTTAATTATTCAAGGGCTCCCATATGCCTCTATAAACGTCCCCAGAGAAGAACTGGCTCCTGTGGTGTCACTGGATATTGTGGGGTCAGTAAAAATCGTCTGTGATTGTGATTCTCAAACTGGTCTCTTTCATCCTCACCCTGGGACCCTCCGGGCAGTGCAATGAGTGTAACTCTGGGGCTCCCAGAGGAGAAGCGGAGATGGTAGTACACCTGGACAGTGGAGCTGCAAGAGGCTCCAGGTTCTAGACCGCAGCTGGTCCCCCAATCTGGGGGCCTGACTCCAGCTGCACTGACCACCAAGTAATGCCCCTGAGAGGGGAGAGTGGCCCCGGTTCCTGGGGTCCTGGCCAGGGCCAAGTGCACCCTCTGGACAGGGCCCTGCACACGCTCTCACCCCGTTTCGGTGGCTTCTGCACCCTGCCTGACACCCGCCCCACCTACCCCGCCGGCCCTCCCCTCAGAAGTCCTCCTCAACCAAGGAGAGGAGCACGGCCTTGGGCGTGTTCTCGAAGAGGGCCGCCCGGTTCTGCTGCTGCCCTTTCTTCACCCAGTGACCGTAGATCCGGAAAGCATAGGCATCGATGAGTCGCCGCAGAGGCCGGAGGGCGTAGGGGTCTCGAATGACGATCTCCCGGGTCACGGGCTTCACCCGACGGTACTGGTAGTAGATGCGCACGGAAGCCAGCACCGTCAGGCAGATCACCTGCGGGAGGCAGGGCCTGAGCACGGGGCCACACCCCCTGGGCCTGTCTCCTCCCGCGTCCAGCGCAGGCCAACCCGAGCTTGTATGCCTCCAAGCCTTGTGTGGCGTCGGCTGGGCGCGTCCTAGCGTCACCGACCGCCGACCCCCATTACCCCCGTTCCCGCCCTACCCGCAATTGCAGGCTTTTAGGCTGTCAGCACCAGAAGCCAGAAGAAATTGAGCTGGAACCATCACAGGGCTGGGTGGGAGGGGGAAGGGCGGGTGCTCTGGAAACGCCGTGGTCGTAAGGAGTCCTTATGAAGGGCACTGGGGGTTTGGGTTTCAGGGGCCCCGGCACCCGCCCCGGGGACCCTGAATGGGAGGTGAGCCCGCAGTACCTTGAACTTGCCCCGGGGGCTGAAGTGACGCACTTCCTCCACCACGTACTGCTGGAAGAAGGGGTGCGCCAAGGCTTCTTCTGCCGAGCAGCGGCTCTGGGGACTCACCACCAAGAAGCGGGAAACCTGAGAGAAACAAGGCGGAACGGAGGACGTGTCAGGCCGGGATCTCTCCCCCAGCAGGCGCCTCCATCTCTCTCACCGCTCCCCCCCCCACCCCCACGACTCCGACCCCCACGCTGAGAACACTGGACTTGCCCCTCGCCTGCGCCCGTGAGCCAGCATGCCCGGCCTCTCACCAAGTCCTTCACGGTGTCCGAGTAATCGTCCCATTCCGGTGAGCCAAACTGGTAGTTGCCACTCATGATCATTCTCAACATCAGCATCTGCTTGCGGTGCCAGAAGGGCGGGGAGCCGGCCAGCAGCGTGTACATGATGACCCCCGTGCTCCACCTGGCACCGGGGGAGCGGCGGAGGGAGGCAGGTGGGCGGGCTGTAGCGCCCACCTCCATCACCCCCTCCCCTGCCAGGTGCTCCCGGTCAGAGGGGCACCCCTGTCCCTACAGGTCACCTCCCTCCCCCCAACACACTCACATGTCCACCTCCTTCCCATAGCCGGGGTGGTCATCGTTCATGGAGCACTCGATGATCTCAGGGGCCAGGTAACTAGGGGTCCCACAGACCTCTGCAGGGACAGTTTCCATCGGGGCAGGTCAGCAGAGGCACATGGAAGAGAAAGGCCCACAGAGACAGTGGACATGGAACTGAAGTGGTATGGCCGGACTGGGACTCTGAACACAGCCCCAGGCTCAGAGCCAAGGGCAGGCCAGGGTGCTGGCTCCTATGGCCACCCACTTGGGGCCTGTCAGTGGCTTGGTTATAGGAGCCACCACTGGCCTGGAACACAGGCAGTGGGAACCTGGCTCAGCCCAGTCCCGGGAAGAAACACCCAGCCTTGAAATGGTAGAATTTTTTATTCTGGGGGCGGGGGGGGTGGGGGGAAACCCGGGCAGTCCCCGTTCCCGGGAGAGCTGATGAGAGAGCCTGAGCCCCTGACACGGGCCAGGGCCACGTTACCGGACCTCGCAGCTTCTCTCCTGGCTCCAGCTGGCAGGAAAAGCCAAAGTCTGTAAGCTTGATGTTCATGTTATCGTCCAGGAGGATGTTCTCGGGCTTCAGATCCCGATGCACGATGTTGAGTCTGTGCAAGGTGGCAATCACCTCCAGCAGGGCTCTCATGATCTTCCTGGGGTAGCACAGGCACATGTTACCCTCATCTGCTACTCTGCAGGTCAGGTAACAGGCGGGGAGACCGAAGCCCATAGGCTAGCCCGACTGCAAGTGACAGAGGACTCCAGACAGGCGGGCCCACCTAGGCTGGGTCAAGGAAGAAGGGATGCTGCCATAGCCCACAGCGCACACTCCCCGACCAGACCAGTGCATGCCACGCTGCCTCCATGACCTCTGTGCCTAAGCTGGACTCAGACTGGAAGTAGAGAGAGGGGCAAGTGGACCCTCACCTGGTCTCCTTCTCACTCAGGGTGACCTTCTCAGTGAGGTAGTCAAAGAGCTCCCCTCTCTTCATCCTGCGGGGACAGAGGATTTGTCACTGGATGGACCAGCAGGCTACCCCTTCCTTACCCTGTTTCCCACCTAACACTTCCAGGGGTAAAGTGGCCCACTCCCCACGAAGGACCACAATCTGCAGGGAGGAGCTGGGGAGGTGAGTGGAGAGGCTGTCTGGGAAGTTTGGAGGAAGAACAAGGGACACTGGAGGGGTGGGGTGGCACCATAGTGAGGGTCCCCCATGTGTGGGAGTGATAGCATGGACTGGAACCCATCAAAGCCAAAATCAGGCTTAGGGGAGGAGGGAGGGACTCTGAGTCACTGGCCCAAGGTCCCAGACCCAGATTAGAAGGACCAGAATGTCCTGACTTTTTCCAGGAACAAATGGAAGCAGCAGCAGTACAAGTGATGGAGCAGCGGTTTTGCCTGTTTTGGGATTTCTTAGGATTAAGAAGTGGGGTTCCATCTTCCCACTTGGGAGGATCTAGAAGGAGGTCTCTGCTGGAATAATCTAGTTATACCCTGGAGGGCAACTTGAGGCAGCATTAAAAATAACTTCCCAAGCAACTTCTTCAAAGGTTAGAGACATTTGAGCTGCCCCCAAGGGCTCTACAGGACTGAGCCACTGAGCAGATCTGAGACAGCTGCAGCTGGGCCAGGCTGGGAAAGTCTCCCTTGGTTGAATAAAAAAGGTGCATCCTGCCCACCCCTCCAGGGAAAGCAGGGTCCAAGAGATTTTAGCCAGTATCAGAGGGAGACAAGAAAATCCTTGAACTTAGCTGGTGCAGCAGGGAGGGGAGTTCTCTTTGAGGAGCAGCCCAGAAATTACAGATATAACCCTCGTTTCAGACGTTATCGGTATCATGTTCCTAAAAAGCAATGTGTGTCTCCGGTTTTGATCACTTCAATTCCATTTAAAACACACTAGGAGAATTCACTAATGGCAGCAGCAGCAGCAAAAAGATATACCAGTAAACACTGGGACACTGCAAGGTCCATCAGCAGGCTCCTGCCTTCCTAGAGCTGGCAGTTTAATTGTACACGAAGACCACATCAAATGGTGTCTCCATGAAAATAAGTAACACTTTGCATGTTCAGTATGGTGACCAAAAAAAAAAAAGTTCCAATGATACAAAATCTGCTTGAACAATTCTCTGAAGTAAATCTAGTCCCTAGATGACAAGGAGCTTATCTCAATAGTCCTGCTGGTGCACAAGCAGGGGAATGGTGACATGTTGTTGACAGTGATAATGGTGATGATGACATTGATGATAATGTCAATCTTTGAACTACATGCCAAATAGAATCTCTACCGCCTGCCTGTCTCGTGGGCCTCTTGCGCCAATACTGCTTCAGCTCTTCCCTCTGCTGGGGGCTCCTTCTCTGGGTCTTGGCTGGACTCCATCTCGCCCTTCATCCAGGTCTCTGCTCAGGTCACTTCAGGAGAACATCCCCCACCCACTCCCTCTGACCCTTGCTCAGCCCTGTGTGTCTGGATATGTGCATAACTCTGTGTGTGTTTTATGACTTGATTGCTTTCTCCTCACTCTCTGTGAAAACAAATGCATGCAGTAGGTTTGCATATCCTCAGTGTCTAGAATAAGCATTGCCTGGCCACCCTGGTCATCATCGTGGTAGTTAGTAAGGACTGGCATTTACATTCGGAGAAGGCAATGGCAACCCACTCCAGTACTCTTGCCTGGAAAATCCCATGGGCAGAGGAGCCTGGTAGGCTGCAGTCCATGGGGTCGCAAAGAGTCAGACACGACTGAGCAACTTCACTTTCACTTTTCATGCATTGGAGAAGGAAATGGCAACCCACTCCAGTGTTCTTGCCTGGAGAATCCCAATGGACGGCAGAGCCTGGTGGGCTGCTGTCTATGGGGTCGCACAGAGTCAGACACGACTGAAGCGACTTAGCAGCAGCAGCGTTTACATTGTGTCAGTCCCTGTGTATTTATTATTCCTGCAGTACTGATGAGAAAGCTGATGTGCAAAGTCATCCAGCCCAGAAGGGACCCAGGGTTCAAAACTTGGCAGCCTGACCCCAGGGGGCTGATCTGCCTAAAGCCTCTGTGACCTTATTTGATGTCCACCATGTAGGGGGTTGGCTGCTGGTCTCCAGGAAGCCCTGGATGCGGGGGGCGGGGGGGGGGGCACAACAGAATTTTCTCAGTTAGGCCCCAGGCCTGGGTACTTACAGATCAAACACCAAGAAGAAGAAGGTGTTGGTCTCATAAGTGTCCTTCAGCTGTACTGAAATGGAAATGGCTCATCTCAGGAGCAGAGGAGCCCAGGCGGGGCAGTGGAGGCGCAGGGGAGAGGGGATTAAAGGTGCTGTGGGCTGACTCAGAAGGTGGAGGGGGCATCAGGATTCAAAGGAAGCCTCCCCCTCCCCCGGGGAGAGGGGGCAGCCAGGGACTTTGAACTCCCTATTCCCCCACCCGCACCCCTGCCTATCATCCCTTCTGTGGGACTGGAAGAGGAGGCTTGGAGCTGAATCCTGGGGGCAGGAAGGTGGAGCTGGGAGCCCCAAGCCTTCAGGCACTGCATCAGCGGGGCCCTGGGTTGCAGGAGACAGTCTGGGTGTTTCTGACTAGCTGCACTGGGGCCACACTCCCCGACCTGGGTTATCAGCGTGGAACCGTGGCACAGAGCACCCTGCCGTGGCTCGGGGCCAGCACTCACTGATGTTGGGGTGTCCCGAGACCTTGCGCAGGATGTCCACCTCCTTCTGCGTGGCCTCTCGCAGCTCCTGCACCTCCTCAGAGCTGAAGCTGCCCCCACCGGTGATGTCGATGATCTTCACAGCGTACTCCTGGCACGTGGGCTTGTGGATGCATCGCCTGACAACGCTGCTCACTCCCCTGGGGGTGCAGAGGACAGATGGTCCCGGGGGCCCCTCACCCCGGGGGAGGCCCACATTCAGGCCACAGCAGAGAGGTCCTGCCTTGTCCCCCAGATCCCTGTGAGCTTTGGGGCAGCAGTCCCCAACTTTGGGGCCCATTTTTGGCACCAGGGGCCAGTTTCATGAAAGACAGTTTTTCCACGGACCCGTGGGATAAGAGATGGTTCTGGGATGATTCAAGTGCATTACATTTATTGTGCATTTTATTTCTATTAGTATTGTATCAGGTCCACCTCAGAGCATCAGGCATTAGATCCCGGAGGTTAGGAACCCCTCCTTTGGGGGACGGAAGGTTGAATAAGGCACAGGGGGTGGGGGTAATTTGCCTGGAGCCAAAAAGGAAGAAGTCTGCTTTCAGGCCTCCTGGTTCCTGGTTCAGTGCTCTTTCTCAGCACAGAGGAAGAAACGGTACACTCACTCCTAGGACCGCAAGCTTCATTCTGACACCTGATCCCTGACCCTGAGCCAAGGCTGGGTTTGGATGTGCTGTCAATAGCTCTGGGGTTGGAGGGTGGGGCTCCCTTTGCTGGGAGGGTCTCAGATCTGGGTGCCCTTATACCTGCTTCCTCCATCCAAAACCCCAAACTAAAGTTTTCTCCAAGTGGACAGTGCTTTGGAGATGAAGACAGTCAGGGCTCAGAGTCAAGAAGAGATTGTTCCTGCAGAGCTGGCCGGAACCTCGGCTAGCACTTCGTGGGGGAGGTCTGGGCCTTACCTGCCCAGGATCTCCTTGGGCTCATAGTTCTCATAGAAGCCCTGTGCAGAATAGGAGTCTGGCAGCGACTTGTCCTGGGTCATATCAGCTCTAAAAGGGGAACAGAAAGAAACCGTCAGCCTTCCTGACCTAGGGGATGTGGTCTGTGAGGGCTAAAACCATCTCTCCTTTAGCTTTGTACTTCCTAGCAGAGGGCTGACCTCTTGTGAATATTCAAAATAAATGCTTGTGAATTTTATAGATGGCCAATTGGAATGTGCTGTATCACACAGCGAGCTCAACTTGGTGCTCTGTGTCAACCTAGAGGGGTGCAATGGGATGGGGGGTGGGAGGGAGGTTCAAGAAGGAAGGGACATAAGTACAGTTATGGCTGATTCCTGTTGGTACATGGCAGAAACCAACACAACACTGTAAAACAATTACCCTTCAATTAAAAATCAATAAATTTTTTAAAATAAAAAAATAATTTTAAAAACACTTGTGAATTTTTAGAAAGCTCTGGAAAGAGCCCAGCTTGCTTCTCCCCACTGGTGTAAACTCTTGTGACCCCAGGTGACCACGTGGCTCCCAAAATGTTCTCCTTGTTAGCTGTTGCTCCCCAGAATTAGCAGCAGATGGTCAGCCAGGTCCAAGCCCAGGTTCGAGGCAGGAATCATCAGACTACTGGGCCCCAGGGTTAGCTCTGACAAGGCCAACACACCCCTGGGTTTAGGAAGAACCACCAACAAACTCTGCAAAGGACAAATTAAAGTGCTGTTTCTTTTCCTCTTTGAGGAGATGAAGCTGGTCCTGCTTTGCTTTGCCTGCCCTCTGCACTTGTGGAAAAGGTGAGAAACTTCACAGTTTCATCTTCAAATACGGTGCCCCTATAATCTCACCTTATTGCTCCAGTAGTAACTGTCCTACCTGGAAAACACCTCTCCTTCCAGGACAGGCTTCCTCTGCTTCCCACTGCTGCTTCCTCACTCTTGTCCTTAACCAGGACTTCTGTTGTCACTCTCCCTCCTGCTCTCTTCCTTCCTTCCTCTGTTCTCTTTCCTCCTTTCTTCTTTTTTCCCTTCCTTTTTTATAAGTTTTTTTCCCCTTATATTGTTGTTTTATTTTATTTTGGGGGCTGCACCACTGGGCATGCGTGATCCTAGTTCCCCAACCCGGGATCAAACCCACACCCCCTGCACTGGAAGCTTGGCGTCTTAACCACCGGACTACCAAGGAAGTCCCCTTTCCTCCTTCCTTTCTTTCTTTCATACTCTGAGGAGCACTGGGCCAGGTGCTCCGAGGGATGCAGAGCCTGATGGGTGAGCCCTGGTCCTGGCCTCTGGTGTCACTCGTGGTCATGTGCCCACTCCATCCAACTGTGACGGTCTCTGGGACTTCCCAACCACCCCTCCTGTGGTGCCCAGGGCAGGTGTATTACTAGTGCTGCTCCAGAGATGTAAGTCAGCGGCCAGAGGTATCCCTCTGGCCCGATTCCTGCCCACAGGATGGTCCTGTCCTCAGCATGCCCCGGGCCCTACCTAACGATGACCAGTGAGCCCTGGGCGTTCCCGCTGCACTCTGGGCAGAGCGGAGCCAGGACACTCGGGCCTGGACCCAGAGGAGCTGGCCAGCTTTGCTTCAGGAACGTGGAGGCCACTGGGCACTGAACTCCTTCCTCACTCGGAGGATCTGAGGAATGGAGAAAATGCTGTACCAACCGGAAGAGGGGCAGAGAGAAAACAGGCATGAGCTTCCACCCAGCACAGCCAAAGCTGCCTCTGGTCCCACTTCCATCCTGCTTTCTGGGTCCAAGAAGGCCTGGCCTGATCAAGGGGCCAGTTTGCTGACTGGCGGCAGCCCAGGCTGCCTGGGGACAGGCTGGCTGTTCCAGGAAGCCTGGTGTCCTCACTGCTGGGTGCCTGGTTACCGGGGGAAGGACAAGAATAACAAGAGTCTCCTCTGCCAGTGGCAGGCCTGGCGCTGCCTCCACTCCACCCTCGTCAGCAACCCTGGCTGAGCACAGGAGTGTCTGTTCCCCGGAAAAATTAACCCAGTTCCTGGTGAGTCCTGTAAAGTTCCAAGGCAGGCATCTGTTCTCCCCCTCCCCACCTCTCAAAGCCGGGTAGGAGGTCTCTCCCTTCCCCCAGCCCTCCATGGGCAGAGCGTATATCCGGCCCCAGCCTGGCATGCCATCCCATTCGGGTACCCCATTCCCTGGCATAACCAGCTCCACCCAAGTTCTGGCACTGGGCGGGGGGGGCGGGGGGGGGTCCATCTTGCCCCATCCCCTTGCTCTAGGCCTAACTTGGGGCCAGCTTCGTGCCTCTGTCCACTGCCCCCACCTGCATCCCCCAAGACGCCTTTGGAAAGGGTCCCCAAATGTGAGGACGTAGCCCAGTCCTTTTTGGAACATAACATCACTCCCTAAAACTGAGAGTCAGCAAACAGTCACAGGGATCTACCTTCTGTGGACAAGTAACTTTCAAAAGTCAATGCTGCCATTCTCCTGGGTTCGTCTACTGTCAGAAGTGGGGAGAAGTAGGCCTAGTGGGTTTGGGAGGGTTGTCTTCTCTACCCCATGACCTCTTCTGCTCCCCACCTGGCTTTTATCATTCACTGACCCAGCTACTCACTGCTATGTCCTCGCAGGCCCTGGAGTGAACAGGATGGGAATCCCAAAAGTCCCGGACCTCCCCAGGGAGAGGGAACAGCGGAGGACTGAAGCGTGTCCAGAGCAGACACTTGCGGCCCGAGTAGCGTATCTTGCTGTTCTTTCTTCGGGCTTTGCTACTTGAGGACGGAAGGCTGATGTGCCAAAAATAAAGCACAACTGCAAAGCTGGGAGGCTGGCCAAGGCTTGGCAGACCAAGTCTCACCAGGGGGTGACCTCTGGTGGAGGGTGAAGGAAGTTCGGGTGGCCTGGGAGCAGGCAGGACAGCACGTGGTGATCCGTCCCTGATGTCTTCCCGCGGGAGCTCACTCAGCCTCCAGGCCTGGAGAACAAAGCCAGCTTGCCAGGAATGCACTGGCTTCTCTGTGTGCTGAGCGCCCTGGAGACACCCTTGTGCACCCATCCTACAAGCCTGACTGCTCGGGGGAGCTGCTCACCTACGGTTTGTGTGGCTGCCTGACCAAATGCAGACCTCAAAGTTTATCCAGTACTCCATCTCTGATCATCCTCCAAGATTTCACTCTTAACTCATTTTGTTTTCAGCCAGCAGTTCCTGATGAATGAGAGGAGGTCCATGTGCCAGGAAAAACACTTGGGCATTAACTGTGGGCAGCTTTGGGCTCCTTGAGTGAGGGTCCTCATCAGTGTGATTCTAGCTTAAGAGGTTGACAGAACTGGAAATAATGTATGCTGGCACAAAAAGGGCACTTAAAAAAATATTTCAAAAAAATTAAGCTTTTTCATATTTATTTTTTATTTATAATTTATTTGGCTGTGTCAAGTCCTAGCTGCGGCTGGAGGGGCCTTTGATCTTCTTTGTCACTTCTTTGCATGAGGACTCTAGTTGCGGCCTGTGGGATCTACATCCCTGACTCAGGCCTTCTGCATTGGGAGCGTTATGTCTTAGCTACCAGACCACCAGGGAAGTCCCGGTAGACAGTTTTTTTAATGCTCTCTCATTCCAAAGCTACCTGTTCTTCAAACCTCTAATTCTAATACACCAAATGAAGAAACGGATAATACTGTGCTTCATACAGATGCTGAGCCTATAAAAACCCACTTAATGAGCATTTTACAGTGTACTGCAAATGCACTCTCACTTGGGCCCCTAAAACTCTGGTATTAAGCCAGTTTTAGAGAACATGATTTGTTCAGTGAGGTCACCAAGTAGAAGGGCCTGAGCCAACCCCAGGTGTAGGCCCATGTGCTCTTTCCACGTCACCATCTCTTTCATTCCAGGGAAATACTTTGCTGAATTGCTACACAGAAAGGAGTTGTAAATGACTTTGTGTCTATCCATAAAGGCCACCAGCTTACTGAGATGCAACATCTGGTCCCAAGGATAAAAACACTTAAGTCCCCTCACTGTCAAAAAGACTTCATTTTTTTCCCTCTCCTGATTCTAAGCTGTAGACTCATGCTAGTTTAGTTTCAATGCAAGACAAAAATCCCTCTGACCTCAGGGCAAAAGGCCAACACACCTAGTGAATCATTCCCTGTGCCCTTTTCTGTACAGTCATGGTTCCCCCCCAGGGAGAGGCCAGGTCAGCCAGACTTTTGCATTTTATTTTCAGAGGTTCATTTTCCTTGGATTCACTGCTTCAACCCTATTTGGGTACCCAACATAACCATCTTGCCTTGGACATAAACAGCATTAACACTATGAACTCAGATCTTAAGTGTTTAGGAAAATAGGCAAAGGAGCCCCCTGGTGAACCCAGGAGGGAATAGGCTGGGCGACTGGACGAGAATGAATTGTCTATGGTCATTTGGGTCCTTGGGCAATGCAGTCTTGGCCTCTTTGAGGAACTGAATTAGATTAGGTACAGAATGGGGCACTCTGAGAACACTGCTGAGGATAGGAGGTAACAACTGAATAATTCACTCAACAGCATTTCACTCACTTCATGGTAACAGAGAGGAAAATAAACAATCAGATAATGGGAGCCCTGAGAGGTATATTTGAAAGTCAGAAAACTGCAGACCATGTAGACTTGAGGTCAACTCCCAGAAGCAAATGAAATTTTGAGTGGTGAAGGATAGAGCTGGATTCATTTAAAAAAAAAAAAAAGATGCACACTAAATGGAGTCCATCTCCTTAAGGTAACATGGAGTAGGCAACTTTAATCTTTCAGGAAGAGCAACATGCCATGCCTTAAATAGAATGAATTAAAAAAAAATTTTTTTTTATTTGGCTACGTCAAGTCTTAGTTGCAGCACATGGGATTTTTCATCGAACCAAATGGACTCTAGCTGTGGCACACAGGCTTAGCTGCCTTGTGGCATGTGGGATCTGAGTCCCCCGACCAGGGATGGAACCCACGACCCTGCATTGCAAGGCAGACTCTTAACCACTGGATCACCAGGGAAGGCCCCATAATGCCTTATGTAGAGTGAAAGCACTGGCAGGGGAACCACCTGCATTAAGGGAATGATTTTCCATCTCCAACCAATTAACTGGATGTTCCAGGGTGACAGTGGTAGGTACTGCTGACCTGGCCACATGGAGACCGCACGTATAATGGCTCTGCTCCCATGTTTCCTTTATCACTCTCCTGATTTAGGACAGTACTGCACCTGGAACCTGTTTATTTTTATTTATTTATTTATTTTACTTTTGGCTGTTCTGGATCTTTTTCTGCTGCATGGGCTTTTCTCTAGTTGCGAGAGAGAGGGCTACTCTCTAGTTGCAGGATACTGGCTTCTCATTGCCATGGCTTCTCTTGTTATGGAGCATGGGCTCTAGGGCACTTGCGCTTTAGTAGTTGTGGCACACGAGCTTAGCGCACAGTGGCATGTGGGATCTTCCTGGACCAGGGATTGAACCCATGTCTCCTGCATTGGCAGGCCAATTCTTTACCACTGAGCCACCGTGGAAGTCCCCTGGAACCTGTTTAAGGAGCAGCACATTTGCTGGGAAGCAACAATGTGGCCACTGCTTTAATACCCAGAAACTATAAATTATATACACGTAGAGACAGCTGTGTTTTCCTACAAAATCCATTTTGTTCAGCATGTGTGATTTATAACCTTCTACTTAAGAAAGACAGAAAAGTGACTAGAAAGAAAATCACTTTATTCTAATTAAACCACAAACAATAACATCAGAAAAGCACGCTTAAGAGGCCACAACCACCTCTTCTGCCCAATCCCAAACTCAATACCATCTCAATGAACTTCTATACAGTGACAACGCCCTCTTCCACTGCAATCATGAAGAACAAAAGCTATTAATGATTAAGGAGAGGTTTAACGGGTGGTCTCACAGTTCACATCTTCACTATTAATTATATTTTAAATGCTAAATCAACATGGTCACGAGAAGTGATTTTTCACGTCTTCAACTGGAACTTCTTGATTAAGCTAATCCTGCAAACAGAAAAGGTTTGTTAGAAGAGCACTAGCTACATGTTCTCAACAAAGCAGAAGTCCTCCAAATGATGAAAGGAAGGATGAAAGCCAAGGTTATTAGTTTCTTTCATAAGAAACTGTTTAAGGTATCTTGAAGTGAAGTGAAAGTCGCTCAGTTGTGTCCGACTCTTTGTGACCCCATGGACTACACAGTCCATGGAATTCTCCAGGCTAGAATACTGGAGTCGGTAGTCATTCCCTTCTCCAGGGGATTTTCCCGACCCAAGGATTGAACCCAGGTCTCCTACATTGCAGGAGGATTCTAACAGCTTAGCCTCCAGGGAAGCCCAAGAATACTGGAGTGGGTAGCCCATCCCTTCTCCAGTGGATCCTCCCAACCCAGGAATAGAACCAGGGTCTCCTGCACTGCAGGAGGATTCTTTACCCACTGAGCTACCAGGGGAGCCCTAGGTATCTTGCCACCAAACTTCAACTCTACACTTGTCACAACTGAAAAAGAGAGGGTATATGTACTTCTGGGCACAGAGTTCTGAAGCAGAACTATAGTCACTTTGGTATTAGATGGAGCTTCACCATAGACTTCTGATAAAACTTGGCCATGCAATCTCTTAATTCCACAGTTCAACCACATGAAAAAATTAACTTCTGCCATATTTCCTGCCATAAATAAAGGCAGTAAAATGAAAACAAGCATTTTTAATAGATGGTGAATTCCTAGGTTGATAGGAGGAAATTACAAAAAAAAAAAAGAGCAAGAGAGAGAATAAGTTGACTGCTAATATTCCAAAGAGCCTAAAGCTCAAAGTCCCTCAGAGGGATCTAATAAACTTGTCTCTCTCGAAGGGGGTGTGTAGACTGACAATGCTCCATCAAATCTTGTGCACATTTCTGGACTCTGGTGAAATCAGCACTGAGGCTATGCAATAGCCACAGTAAGATCTTGGCACACTAATCTATACCTGCTTAAGGAAGAATCAGACTAAGAAGATAACTGGCAAAAGGTTAAGATAATGACTAGAGGTCTCTGGTACAGCTCCTTGTTAGAAGAGTTAGATTATTTTTAGAGTAAACAAAATCTCCTCCAATTTGTCAGTTTAATTTATCAAACACAGACTCCGTAAGTGTTACAGGGCCCAGGATTACCATTCAGTGTATGAAACAGATCCAAGTTCAATCATGAATTGAGAGGTCACCTACCATTGGCCAATCTGCACTGTTTCAGCACCTCGCTGAAACCCTCGCAAAGTTTAAGGTCACCCTGGCTCTGGGCACACTCCAGAAACTGTTTCACCTCATAGAAGCAGGGGCCATTCTGCTGCAGTTGTGCCGGCTGGATTCCCTGAGGTTCCTGCAAACATGCAACATTTAGGACTATTAAGAAAGGAAATCAGACTTACACCCAGACCAAGAAAAATAGCCACTCTTTGAGGTTAACTGGGGAAACAAAACTAGCACCAGACTCAAATTAGCAAGTTCCTATCTCTTAACATGGAACATGAAGAAATTTAAAGGCAGAAAGAAATGAACTGTAACAAAAATTCCAGTTGTAGTCAGAAAGACTCACGAACAAAGATGCAATTTGAAGTGGCTGTTTGGGCATCAAAAGATCAACGGTTCAGTGACGTTTCAACAAGGGAAAAATGGGATTACTACAGAAAAACAGAGGAACGCAAGCTTTAGGTACACTAGAAATACAACGAAATATATGCTCACCCTCCCTAGAGAAGATATCAGAGAACAGAGAGCATTAGAGTCACAAAAAGTATTTCTGAACACTTAACTAAGATTGAGACTGGATGAGTTAAGAGTGACCAGGAAAATATATATATATATATATTCATTCATTCATTCATTTATGCCAGGCCACCTGGCTTGTGGGATCTTAGTTCCCCAATCAGGGACTGAACCAGGGCCCATGGTTGTGAAACAACTAAGTCTTAATCACTGGACCACCAGGGAACTCCCCAGAACACTCAAAATAAGGGGGAAGGGGCTGCTTGACAGTGCATCAGGATGAACTGCTACAATTCTACGCCTTGGGGAGAAATATCACATGTACATGATTCTCTGATGCTGGCCTAAGGAAGGTACTAACTCAACTGCCAAATGTGGCTCTTGATAAACCATTTTCCACATATGGAGACAGTGGAGACACATAAGGAACCTACAAACAACTAGGTTTTCTCATAAAACACACAACCAAAGGGAATGCTGCCTCAAGTCTTACCTGGTAAGTGACATCAGGCCTTGAGGGTTCAGCACTGCTTCCTCCACTGAAGCCCCCAGTGATGGCGTGACCCAGAGTGTGGCCGACGGCAGAACCCACAGCCACGCCAGCAGCAGTGGTTGCCATCTGGGCCATCAGACCTGGCTGCCGGGGAGCAGCGGCAGGGGAGCCAACAGCAGATGGTGGAGCTACTGCTGGTGGCTGAGCTGTGGGCGCTGGCCTGGGCGCTGCTCTCATCTGAGGCGCACGGCTGCGAAAGAAAGGAACAAAAAGTAGTAAGTTCCCATTCCCAGCCAGGTTTGGAAACTGTCAACTTAAACAGACAACCCTTGTATATTAAAATAAACCTCAGGGTTTTAAGTGATCAAACACAAATACGATATATATACACACAAGAAAACTTCACAGAACATAATTCCCTAAGCTATTTACACCATTTCCTCTCTTGAACCTTTTGTTAAGGTTGTAATCACTGAGTATAAACTTCTCTTCCCTGCTTTTTTGCAACCATGTCCATGTATTCACAAAGTCTATAGCATCTTTAAGAACACAGTTATCCCAAAATTTCATTAAAATTGATATAACTGTTCATGAGACAAAACCTTCTGCCTTTATGGAGCTGACATTGAGGGATCAAGTGAATGTTAAGGAAAAAATATTAAGAGAGGGAGGGCAGCATGTTCTGGGATGTTGCAATTTTAGGACCCTCAAGGGAGGTAACAACTGAGTAAAGAGGGACAGTCATCTACAGAAATAAACTTAGTCCAATTCCTTCATTTCACAGATTAGAAAACTGAAACCCAGCAAGTGGAACTGACTTGCCTGGACTGTTATACATCTGGATATCTTTAAAACTTCACTAAAATGTCCAGTGGCAACCCACTCCAGTATTCTTGCCTGGAGAATCCCACGGACAGAGAAGCCTGGCAGGCAACAGTCCACGGGGTCGCAAGAATGGGACACAACTTAGCGACTAAACCACCACCCAATGTGTCCAGTACCCCTCTAAAAATCTTTCACATAGATTATACTCTCTGTCCATTTTTCAGATTGTTTCCTTGAGTACTCTTCCCTCAGTTGAGGCTAGGTCATAAGTTTATGACTTCCAATCAGGTGGTATCCAGTATCTGGTCTAACTTCACAAAATATGTGGCTTCCCCTCCTTTGGATAGTAGCATCTTTCCATTACTGAACTCCTTCTTTACACTCCTAACACACTGAACACAATTCACCTTAGTCGAGAGAAGCAATGGGGTACTGTGCTAAACGTTTTGAAGATGTCACCAGAAAACTCTGAGACCTGGCTTCTCCATACATAGAGAAGGACAGCAGTGAGTGGACCTGAAGAGAGATCTTAGCTCCCTGTCCAGGGTAATCAGGAATGAATTTTCATGTCCAGGATGAAAATCAGGAATCCTAACCACTAGACCACCAGAAGACTCTTGAGAGTCCCTTGGACTGCAAGGAGATCCAACCAGTTCATCCTAAAGGAAATCAGTCCTGAATGTTCATTGGAAGGACTGATGTTGAAGCTGAAACTCCAATACTTTGGCCAAAACTGATGGCCAAATGAGAACCAACTCATTTGAAAAGACCCTGATGCTGGGAAAGATTGAAGGTGGGAGAAGAAAGGGACAACAGAGGATGAGATGGTTGGATGGCATCACCGACTCAATGGACATGAGTTTGAGTAAACCCCAGGAGTTGATGATGGACAGGGAGGCCTGGTGTGCTGCAGTCCATGGGGTCACAAAGAGTTGGACACAACTGAATTGAACTGAGACCACCAGGGGCTGGAGGCTAGATGCAGAGTTCCTGGCTCATCCCCTGTTTGAAAGCAAAAATGTTTCCAAGTGGCAAAAACTATAAAAACAGGTATATAGTTTAACTTAAGTCAGAAACTAGGCAGAAATACACACCCAGAGAGGAGTGCCAGCATCCTGAGGGACACACTCAGTAGAGAGGTGATTTAAATCACTTATACAGGACAGTCCTTCAGAGTCTTTGTTACATTTGGCCAATTATCTTGTCTGTTTTTCACACAGTGACTATTCTAGAACCCTCCCCAAGATGCGCGCGCAACTTTTCGTTAAGATGGATCCCATCATCGAGGCCTGTGGTACATTCCACACTTATGACGGGGTGGCACACCCTCTCTTTCTGACCCCCACGGAGCCTTTCTGCCCATGTGCAGAGAGGAAAGTTTTCCTTGACCTCAGGAGAGGACACTTTATCTCTTCATTTCAGCAGAGTTCAGCGTCTGCCACTAGCTTTGTCCTTAGAATCAGGGCGAGAACAAAGCTTCAGTTTTACTCCACTTGACAAATACCAGCTGCCTGGCCCAGGGCCCACCTATCTCCTACCTCTGGATGACCTTGGAGAAGTCCCTTATTCTGCTTCTCCAGTTTCCTTGTTCCTGTAACAAGAAAACACCTACCCTCTGAGGCTATCAGGAGGTGCAACTGACAGTATATTTTACAAGTATTTTATGAACCGGAAACGTCACGCACAAGTGAAACCTTAGGAACTGTACACTGGGCTGAGCCCTCGGAACGCTCACTGCTTATGGAAGGTGCTCAAAGGTTATTTACTTGAACTGAGATCCGATCATTTTCCTGTTTATACCATCTTTCTTCTAATTTTTTTTTCTTATTGTTGTTGTTGCTATTTTTGACGTTTCAGCCAGATTACACTTACAAATATCCACTTTCTAGAACTAACATGTTTTAACATAAAATGCACTCTAAAATATGTTAAGAAATAACTCATGGACATTCGAAATTAGGAAGTTTGCAGTAACGGGAAAGCTACCCAAAGCCTCATAACCAGTTTGCGGCGACGGAGAAAGGCCCACGCCGCCCCAGCCTTCGGAAGCCCTCGCCCGTAGAGGCCCCGCCGTCCCGAGGTAAAGCACAGTCTCCCTCTGTGTCACGGCACGGGCAGGACCCCATCCCCGCGGTAGTCTCACCTGGCAGGAGGGGCCACGCGGGAAGTGCGGCTTCGGCTTCCACGAGGCATCTTGACTGCACTCCTAAGCGACGTAGACAAGCAGGACACTCAGAGACCCTGGCTGATTCTGCGAAGAGCGACAGCGGAAGTTGGGAGGCGGGGCTGGCCTTAGCGCGCGGCCAATCAGCGCACAGGCCTTCCGTTTTCCGACTTCTCCGCGGGCCTGAAGGTCACAGGAAGAGCAGGGCGTCACGGCGGCGCCCCGTCGCACTCAGTTGACGTCAGAAACCCGGCAGCCGGACTGTAGAAAACCGGAGATGGACGTGGGTGTGGAAACTTTGTCCGAGCCTAGCGCGAGTCAGAACCGTTTCCTAGGGCACAAAGATCGTTGCTTCTACCTTCAAACGTTTTCTTATTAATGTGGTAGGTCAGCTCCAGCCTTGAGAGAGTGAGTCAGACCTCTGGCGTGGTTGTCTCTGGACCTTGGGTCAGTTACTTAACCTTTCTCACCATTAAGTTCCTCATTTGAGTAAATATTTTTTGAGGCACTGTGTGGGCACATAATAAGAACTGAAATGAAGAAAACGGACAATTTTAGGGATCGACAGAGCCGAGTTGGTTCTACTTGGGTTTTGTCTGTTCATCCAGTAAACAAAAGTTAGATTCAGGCAGTAATAATGTCTTACTTTTTTGTATTTCACACATTTCCTAACCCCTTCATGTGTATTATAGAACTTGTGCCCGTAATTGGAATGATATTCGTTCACTGATAATGAAATAAGGTGTTCTGAATGATCTCCCAAGTGCTAGCTAGGTTCTGAAGGTAGAGCAGGAAACAAGACTACCTTCATGGAGTTTAAATTCATAGAGGCGAGATACAAACACCTATATTAATTAAATGGTGGTGATAGGAAGTAAAAGCAGGATAAGCGAGGTGTAGAGAGTTAGGGGTCGGAGAGGGCGGGAGTTTTTTTTTGAAGGGCCAGTATTTGAACGGAGGCCTTAAGGAAGCGGGGAGGCAAGCCTCCCCAAGGGTAAGAGCGTTTCTCACAGTGAGAACAGCAACTGCAAAGGCCCCAAGGATCTGTGCTTCCGTGATACTTGGTGGGAAATGCTTTTAACCATTTATTTTAGTGCCTCTGCAGTAGGGGACAAGTAAACTAATGGCATTTCATGGGGGGCTTCGTGGAAAAGTCCTTGGAGATGGGATGGGTTTTATAGAGGAGAGAAAGCAGAGCTAGAACCTTCATTTCTGCTTGGATGTCAGTCAGAAATTTCCCCCTTTCACCAGAGGTGACAGAGTTTAAAGCAGCCTTTCTGGCAACAGCAGAATGTGGAACTGAGGGGTAAATAATGCAAAAAAAAATTTGTGAAAAACAGTTTTATTTTCACAGAATTTCTTAAAGAAATGAAAACTGTAAATGGTAAGCCTTTGTATTTCCCTTTGGATAATTCATAAAAAGAGATGGGAGAAAGGAACCTTACTTATATACTTATTTTTAATTGAAGGATAATTGCTTTAGGAACCTTATTTATAAAGGACATTCTGGGACCAGAAGAGCTTAGACTGAGGAGAGCTTTGGACAGACAGGCATGCAGACCAGAACAGAGACAGTTTTAATTTTACCTCGCTAAGTTGTTCATTCCTAAATTAAGGAGAGAAAATTAGATGTTTGTACAAGGCTATTTTGTGATAGTAAAAGAGTAAAAAGTCTAAATCTGTCAGTAGAATACAGGTTAAAAAAATTATGGCACACACACTATCAGTTCAGTTCAATTGCGCAGTCATGTCTGACTCTGCGGCCCCATGGACTGCAGAAGGCCTTGCCTCCCTGTCCATCACCAGCTCCCGGAGTTTACTCAAACTCATGTCCATTGAGTCGGTGATGTCATCCAACCATCTCATCCTCTGTCGTCCCCTTCTCCTCCTGCCTTCAGTCTTTCCCGGCATCAGGGTCCTTTCAAACGAGTCAGCTCTTTGCATCATGTGACCAAAATATTGGAGTTTCAGCTTCAACATCAGTCATTCCAATGAACATTGAGGACTGATGTCCTTTAGGATGGATTGGCTGGATCTCCTTGCAGTCCAAGGGACTCTCAAAAGTCTTCTCCTACACCAAGTTCAAAAGCATCAATTTGGCACTGAGCTTTCTTTATGGTCCAACTGTCACATCCATACGTGACTACTGGAAAAACATAAAGCTATATATAAAGCTACAAAATAAAGTTACAAAAAAAAGTTTTTCTGTATATTGATATGAAATGATTTACAAGATAAACTGTCAAGAGAAAAAAAGCAAATGGCAGAATTGAGTGCAAGGTGCTATTATTTGTGTGAAGTGGAGAGAAAAGACCATATTGTGTGTGTGTAAAATATCTTTAGCTGATAACATTGGTTGCCTTGAGGCAGTGGCACAAATTCAGTTAAACAGTAATCAAAATTTGAGCAAAGAACTCTTGCAGACGTTGTTACAGATATTTGATACAGACATTTGGCTGAGTGGACTCTTGATGATTGCAGTTAAAAATTGCAGAGGGAGACAAAAGGTAAGAGGAAAAAAACCCTGAAGGCTAAGATAAATTATCAGAAGCTTTAAAATTGCAGACTTTGCTCCATAAATTCCATATCTAGGAATTTTCAAAAGTCGTGAATGTGAAAGAAATTAGCCGTAAGGATTTTGGTTTAACAAAATGTATAAAATAGGGAAAACCTGAAATACCCTAAGTGTCTTGCAGTGTATTTAGAATTAGTTAAATAAGTTCTAGTACCTACATATGATGAAATGTTAGGCATCCATTTAAAAATGTTATAGAAGAATATCTGACTTGAGAATTGTCTTCACAAAATACTAAGTGAAAGAGCAGATTATAAAATAGTATATACAGTATGTATTTTGAGAAAGTTCATATGTATTTTTTTATATGTATTTTAAAAACTGGAATTATATACAGCCAAGTAGTGATGTTATCCATTGGATACTGCTTTCTCTGCTTCCTTCCTTCTTTTTTTTTTTGGCCTGTCTCTATTTTCCAGTTTGTCTACAGTGAACACACAATGAATAAACCTAGTCTGGTGGTTTAAAACGTGTCCTCAAATTCCTTGACACTCCTTTCAAAAGGTGGACTCAAATTAAATTCTTCTCCAACCTCGTGAGAGACCCTGAGCTAGGACTACCCAACTAAGCCGCTCCCAAATTCTTGACCCACAGAAGCTAAGATAGTAATTTGTTACACAGCAATATGTAATCAATACACATAATTTCTACAGTAACCATATTTGAATTTTAAAAGCCCTACTGTCTAAAATGAGCAAAATCTAGTTAGAACACTTTACGGGTTGCTTTAACAAAGCTGATGTCTATCTGGGTATGCTGTACTTTACAGCAGAAATTGTGAGGAACTGAGATGTTTTAAGACATTAAGGTCCATACACTGTCTATTCAGTTGCTCAATTGATTCCCACTCTTTGTGACCCCATGGACTGTGGCTCGCCAGGCTCCTCTGTCCATGGGATTTCCCAGGCAAGAATACTGGAGTGGGTTACCATTTCCTGCTCCAGGGGATCTTCCTGACCCAGGAATTGAACCCGTGTCTCCTATTGGCAGGTGGATTCTTTACCGCTGCGCCACCTGCGAAGTCCATACACTGTAAATGTAGTTTTGTGTTTGGATAACTAAGACATATGTCTATGTTTATAGTGCCTTGCACATACCAGACAAAAATGAATGAATGAATTTAACTAATGATCTAAAAATACAAAATACTATAAAACAAGTTGTTGTGTTGTTCATATGAAGTTCTAAATGCTGGGCTGGAAGAAGCGCAAGCTGGAATCAAGATTGCCCGGAGGAATATCAATAACCTCAGATAGGCAGATGACACCACCCTTATGGCAGAAAGTGAAGGGGAACTAAAAAGCCTCTTGATGAAAGTGAAGGAGGAGAGTGAAAAAGTTGGCTTAAAGCTCAACATTCAGAAAACTAAGATCATGGCATCTGGTCCCATCACTTCATGGCAAATAGATGGGGAAACAGTGTCAGACTTTATTTTTGGGGGGCTCCAAAATTACTGCAGGTGGTGATTGCAGCCATGAAATTAAAAGATGCTTACTCCTTGGAAGGAAAGTTATGACCAACCTAGATAGCATATTAAAAAGCAGAGACATTATTTTGCCAACAAAATTCTGTCTAGTCAAGGCTATGGTTTTTCCAGTGATCATGTGTGGATGTGAGAGTTGGCCTGTGAAGAAACCTGAGCGCCGAAAAATTGATGCTTTTGAATTGTGGTGTTGGAGAAGACCCTTGAGAGTCCCTTGGACTGCAAGGAGATCCAACCAGTCCATCCTAAAGGAGATCAGGCCTCGGTGTTCATGGGAATGAAGGATGCTGAAGCTGAAACTCCAATACTTTGGCTACCTCATGTGAAGAGTTGACTCATTGGAAAAGACCTTGATGCCGGGAGGGATTGGGGGCAGGAGGAGAAGGGGACGACAGAGGATGAGATGGCTGGCTGGCATCACTGACTCAATGGACATGAGTTTGAGTAAACTCCTGGAGTTGGTGATGGACAGGGAGGCCTGGCGTGCTGCTATTCATGGGGTCGCAAAGAGTCGGAAACAACTGAGTGACTGAACTGAACTGAAAGCATTTTAAGGGAATGGATATTCAGTGTGAATGATGGCTTCAGGGAGAAAGGAGCACTTTTAAGTATAGCTGACACTAGTTTTAGAAAAGTTAAAATTGATTAAGGGCACCCTGAGTAGGATAGCACAGATTTAAATGAAGAGGAAGAATTGAATATGGTGAATTTAGAGGACAGAAGACCTGTGTCAAGAACCAGTGTGTTGATCTGAAAGAGACACGTGCACCCCAATGTTCATCACAGCACTGTTTATAATAGCCAGGACATGGAAGCAACCTAGATGCCCACCAGCAGATGAATGGATAAGGAAGCTGTGGTACATACACACCATGGAATATTACTCAGCTGTTAAAAAGAATTCATTTGAATCAGTTCTAATGAGATGGATGAAACTGGAGCCCATTATACAGAGTGAAGTAAGCCAGAAAGATAAAGAACATTACAGCATACTAACACATATATATGGAATTTAGAAAGATGGTAATGATAACCGTATATGCAAAACAGAAAAAGAGACACAGGTGTACAGAACAGACTTTTGGACTCTGTGGGAGAAGGCGAGGGTGGGATGTTTCGAAAGAACAGCATGTATATTATCTATAGTGAAACAGATCACCAGCCCAGGTGGGATGCATGAGACAAGTGCTCGGGCCTGGTGCACTGGGAAGACCCAGAGGAATCGGGTGGAGAGGGAGGTGGGAGGAGGGATCGGGATGGGGAATACATGTAACTCCATGGCTGATTGATGTCAATGTATGACAAAACCCACTGAAATGTTGTGAAGTAATTAGCCTCCAGCTAATAAAAATAAATGAAAAAAAAAAAACTAATTCTTTCCATTTCAAAAAAAAAAATAAAAGGTCACCAGAAAAGAAAAAGAACCAGTGTGTTTTTGGAAGTTGTGAGAAACAAATTTAAGAAAATTCAGTAGATGACTTCCAGCACAATATAAGGCATCTTAAGCTTTTTAACCTACAAGGTTACAGCAGTCATTGAGGGTTTTTATATGATTAAAATGATCTTCAGGAAGATTAATCTGGCTACCTCTGAGATGTAGCAGAGGGAGACTAAGGGTAAGGAAAAAAAATCCTGAATGCTAAATAAGACAGTGGTGATGGGAACATTATTAGTAGCTACTTGCCTATTATATATCAGGCAGCTTTATATGCATTATTTCATTTATGCTTCACAAGAACTCTTGAAATAAGTACTGTATCATTTCTAACTTATAGGTAAGGATACAGATGTATAGAGTTAAAACAACTTGCCCGAGTCCATATAGGCATTTTATTCCAAAGCCAGGAGGACTCCTACCACACTGCCTGAATGTTGGAGACATTTTAAAAGAATTAATGAAGTGAGTGAAGGAACTTAAGGCTTCCTGACAAGAGAGCATAAAGAGGAGGGATCATGTTCTGTAAACTTAAAAATAATTCCCATTTATTGAGCACTGATTATGTGCCAAGTCCTTAAGTGTGTTAGATATTTTATATACTTTATCAATAATCAGTTTGGCGGGGTAACCCAGTATTATTCCCATTTTACAAATGTGAAACCTGAAGCTTGGCAGAAGTTGAAAGTAGTTACCACTCAAAGTCTGCTGAATGCCAGGTTGATGAACAGTCATCGCTAGGATTAAAATTCAGGTTGATCATTCCAGACCACCACCCTTCTTTCCTAACCAGGGACTCACCACTGGGTGCAAAGGCCTGACAGAATGCAGACTGAAGAGACAGGAAAGGGACCCTCCCATACTCTGCATAATCTTTAAACTAATTCTTGGACATGGAATTTGTGGGTGGTTCTGAGCCACAAAAGGATGTCTACAGTTGATGAAAATGGTGATGGTGGGAAGAGTGGATGTTTTTGAGTATCTGTTTTGTCTTCTAACTTGTATGGCCTCTGGAAAGTTACTTGAATTCTGTGCCTCAGAATCAGCTGTAAAATGGAGATAGCATTCACTTCAAAGGATTGTTGTGGGCCAGTAGTGCAGAGAACCTAGCATACACCATTTAAATTTACTCCTATTCTGACAAATATTAAGGGTACACAGTCCTAGATGACATTTGACTTAAAGTCTTATACAGATTCCTATCTTTGTTCTGCCTGTATTCATCTCTGTCACTTCTTTACACTTAAGAACTCAAATATTTGTGGGCTTGAAACAAATTACCACAACAACTTAACCAAAAAACACCAGAAGACTTAAAATGCCATTCTTGCTGCTCTCTTTTAATGAAAAACCCTAAACCCTAAGCAGGCATACCCACTTGGATGTTAACAATCAGAAAGGAAGACACTGAAGCAGTAAACTTAAGCGATGTTGAAAAGAAGTTCTGCTGACCAACATGGACTGTTCCCCTTAGGACCACAATTACAGGTGGAATCAGAGAAAATACTTAGGTCCTTCGGGTATGGGTATCCTGTAGAAAACCAGACAAAAAACAAAATTCAATTATTCTCTTTAGTCCGTGCATTAACACTGCAATTAAATCCCTTCCTTGTATTTTTAGGAAGATGTTTTCTGCGTTTCCTAGCCCCGTCTACCCAGCTACAAATTTCCAAAATATAATTTTACAATATTCCAACCGCAGCCGGGAGAGAAGCTGGGAGTTTAGGGGGCCCACCCAGCTAATGACTTGGCTACGCAGGGAAGCCTCAGAAGGGGGCGACTGTGCCGGGTCGAGTCGCAGGGGACGGATCGGAGCGCCGCCTGGGCGATCGCGCGGGTTCCCGGGGCTCGGGCCGCTGGCTGCCCGCACGCACCGGCGCTCAGGTGAGACGGGTGCGCGGCCGGGGCTGCAGCTGGCGCTGGCGACGCTTGCGCTGGCCGTTCAGGAGCTTCTGCGCGATCTTGCGCTCGTGGCCGCCGGGCACCAGCCAGTTGGTACGCAGTTCTCGCTCACGCCGCGTCCGGCCCTTAATGCGACCGGCCCCACAGGCTGGGAAGTCGCGCAAGTAGTAGTAATCCGGGCAGTCATATAACTCCTCCTCGGAGCCCACCGGCGGCCACACATCGGGTGGCGGTGGCTGGGCTCGAGGCTGGACAGTGGGAACGGCCGGGTCCATCGCCCCGGGTCGCCCGCTCGGGCGGGGGCGCGCGTTTCTGGAGGGCCACGCCCCGCGCTTCGATTGGCTTCGCCGGGGGGGGGGGTGGAGCATAGGGCTGACGTCACAGAGCTGGGATTCTATCCCGCGTGAGGCCTCTGTGCTGCTTACAGTCCGGGGAACCATGGCATTTTTCTCCATCCAGTTCTGTGCACCCCCGGTGGGAGAGGGGTATTTGGCAAATCCGATCGAAGATTCGTTTATGTCGGTCAAAAGTGGGAAACTAGCCAATTATCAGTAGTGTGGGGGCTGTGCATTCCTCGAGGTGAGCAACAGTGAGCCTTTTGTCAGGTTATTTGACGACATGAGTTAAGTGCGCAGTAATGATGGTGGTTTTAGCTAAACCGTGTTGGACTCTTGCGACCCCATGGACTGTAGCCTGCCAGGCTTCTCTGTCCATGGGATTTTCCAGGCAAGAATACTGGAATGGGTTGCCATTTCCTTCTCCAGGGGATCTTCCCAATCGAACACGGGTCTCCTGCATTGAAGGCAGATTCTTTACCAACTGAGGTACAAGGGAAGCTTTGCGCAGTAATGATGCAAATGAAAAATAGGGTTCTGAAATGTATCCCAGGGTATCCCAGAAATTTATTTTTTTAAAAAAATTGATTCGTTCATTTGTCTGCACCGGGTCTTAGTTACAGCACACGGCTCTTCGACCTTGGTTGCCGGCATGTGGAATCTGTAGCTGTCATGTGGGATCTAATCCCCTGACCAGGGATGAACCGTTCCGTTGCATTGGGAGCGCCAAGTCTTAGCGACTGGACCAGCAGGGAAGTCCCCCCAGTAATGTATTTTTAAAACACACCTAGATGAAAAGGAAATGCATCAGAATGCTAAAAGTATTCCTGGCTGCTAGGGACATACATTAGTTCTTTTTCCTTTCCGTAGTCCATGTGTTTGATAAGGAGTAGAAAATAAGTATTAAGCGAGCAATTAAGAAGGGAAAGTTATCTTGCCTGGTGCAAGGCCAGGAACCGCGCGGCAATTTCGGATTATCCGCGGGTGCTCAAGTACTGTGGTCAGGGGACGCGGGTGTGATAGCTTGATGCTCTGGCATTTCGGGGGTGAGGGCCGAGAGTCGGGGAGCAGCCGCGCGCGCCCCGCGTCCCCCCCGCCAGCCCCGGCTGCGTCCAGCCCCGCGAGCATGGGGGAAAGGATGCTCGCGGAGAGCAGCAGAGGCGAGGGGAATCAGGCCGGGTGTTCTGCGCTGAGAAAAGGCCAGGCTTACTTCCTCGCAGGGGGCTGCTGCACGGCGGTGCAGGAGTCGGTAACATGCAGCGGCACCCGAGGCTCTGCGCGACTCCCAGGTCGAATTGCCTAATTACTGCCTCCCTGAACACTGCTCTCAGGGTATGATTGCCAAGAAGGCCTTGGTTTGCGTTTGCTTTAACTAGTGCAGATAATTCTCTTCCCACAAATATTGCAGCCATCTCCCTCCAGGGACTTTTCTTTTTAATAGATGGAAAATAATTCTCTACTTAAAAAAAAAAAAAGGCCTCAGATATTTGATCTTGCTGAGTTTCTGTCTGTGACCAAGTTGCCAATTTGAGTTTTTTTCCCCTGCTCTCTAAAGTCGTGTCCCTGGTGGGGCGTGGCCTACATACCGAGCTCTGAGGGCAATTTTGGTAGTTCCTTAAATGAGCAAGTCCCAGGAGAGTGTTTTTAATAAAACACCCAGGGGATTTTCTCTTCCACCCACGTGTCTTACACCTGCTACTGGGAAAGAGAGAAACTAATGTTTATCCCTATACCACTGTCCCACACATTATCTCTTTTTAAAAAGAGAAATCTCTTTAGAATTTTTTATGAAAATATTCAGACATTCTCAAAAGTGAAAATAGAACAAAGAACTCTCATAGCCCCTTACAGGGATTCAACAGTTATCAAGAGCCTGTCTGGTTTGCTTTATTCCTTTCTGTTTTGCTCTGCTACAGATCTTAAGTTATTTTACTCCTGTGCGTCTCAGTGGTTGTGGTTTAGCCACTAAGTTGTGTCAGACTCTTGCAACCACATGGACTGTAGCCTGCCAGGCTCCTGTGTCCGTGGGATTTCCCAGGCAAGAATACTGAAGTGGGCTACCATTTCCTTCGCTAGGGAATCTTCTCGACCCAGGGATCCAACCCACGTCTCCTGCTTGGCAGGCAGATTCTTTACCCCTGAGCCACCTAGGAAGCATGCATCTCAATATACAGCTCTAAAAACTCGACCTAGTTCTTCCATAATAATTTTGATGTCTAAACAACAATAGGCAACATGCAACTTGGAATACATAAAAAAATCTACGGATGAAATTTGCTTGTTATGGTGTTTAAGTCACTTCTTATATAGGGCGGGCCTCTGCCCTTTTCCTTGACTTGTTGCAAAAACTGGGTCAGCTGTCCTGTAAATGCCCCACTTTGTGGATTTATCTGCTTCCTTGTCATGTCATTTAACTTGTTCCTCTCTCTCCCATATCTTGTCAATTGAGGTTGATTCTAGAGGTGGGTTTATGCACAGATTCACTTTCCTAGGAGGTGATGTGTGTTGGCATCACACCAGGAGACCTACAATAGCTCATTGCCCCAATTTTAGTGGTCAGTGGGCTCAGGTGGTGACAGCCTATCCCTGCAATTGTATAGTTCAACATTAATAGTTTCAACCATGGTTCATTTTTTTTTGTTTGCTGTTGTGTTCATTTGTTATTATTTCATTAGGTGCTGTGAGATGGCAATTTTTTAATTCAATAATTTCTTCTACATTTATTAGCTAGAATTCTTTCCCTCATGAATATACCTTAATATACATTTTTTTTCTTCCAGTTTTATTGATATATAGTTAGTGTAGAGCACTGTATAAGGTTTACAGCATTATCATTTGACTTACAAAATGGCAACCCGCTCCAGTATTCTTGCCTGGAGAATCCCATGGACAGAGGAGTCTGCAGGGCTACAGACCATGGGGTTGCAAAGAGTCAACACCACTGAGTGACTAACACTTTCACACTATCATTAAATGATGACCACAAGTAAGTTTGGTAAACATCTGTATCATCTCATATAGACACAAAATTAAAGACATAGAAAAGCATTTTTTGTCCTTGTGGTGAGAACTCTTAGGATTTGTTCTCTTTTGTATATAATACACAACAGTGTTAGTTATATTAATCATATTGTATGTTACATTCCCTAGAACTTATTTGTCTTATAGCTGGAAGTTTGTATCTTTTGAGTCCCTTTGTCCAAACCCCCACCCATACCACTCTCCCACACATACCACTAGACCTGTCCTACCAGAAATGCTACAAGGATTCCTTCAGGTTGACATGAAAGGATGCTAGACAGTAGCTTGTAGTCATATGAAGACATAAAAATTCCTACTAAAGGTAAATATATGAGCAGGGCTTCTCTGGTGGCGCAGTGGTTAAGACTCTGCACTCCCAATGCAGGGGGCCAGTGTACAATCCCTGGTCAGGGAACTTGATCCTGCATGCTGCAACTAAGTGGTGCAAAAAATAAAAATAAATACTTGTAAAAAAAGAATACTGTCAGGAGTTGTGAAAAAGCAACTTACAGAATGGAGGAAAATATTTGCAAATCATATATCTGATAAGGGGTTAATATCTAGAATATATGAAAAACAAGAACCAAAAAACAACACTGGTTAAAAATGGGCAACAGACTTGAATATACTTTTCTTCTTTCAGAACCTTCCTTGCCGTGTTGATTCCTAGATGGAGTCTGTGCCAGGTTCCAATTTATTGCCTCTTGACTCCAAATTCACCCTTTATTGCTTGCTGTGCAAAAATTGAGGTGGACCACTCGAGTATTTTTTTCTATACCAGCTGGCACAATGTTAATTTTTGTCAACTGAACGCTCTGGAGAGTAATTGCAGGAGGAAGGGGTTTCCCTTCTTCTTTTGCGAAGTAGTTAGTCAGACATGAGCTGGTCCCTGCCCCATCCTGGACAGGGTCATCTTTCTCTCTGCCTTCCCTACCCCTACCCCACACTGGTGATAAAAACACACCTCAAGATCTTCCCTTTTTGTGATTAAGGACTGATAAGTTTTCAGCCTTATCAGGACCAAACAAGATAAAACCTGCCAGCACAGGTGCACCAAGACCTAAAAGATGACTCAAAGTAGCCCGGGGTTCATTATTTGTGTATTTCTGTAGTAAATTAGCATTTGAATTTTGCCCCACCCACTCTGCCCACTTGGGTTCCACTTGGGTGCTTGTGGGTAAGTGCCTGTGCACTAGGAGGAAAGTCATACAACCTAAATCTGCCAATCAACTTAGTCAAATAACACAGGACAGAGAGAGGGACTTGCCACCACTCTGAAAAACCAACCTGACCCTGTTGCAGGCGGCTTCTTGTTTCCAGGCAGCCTGCTCTCCTTCATTTTCTCTCTGTCTCTGTTTGGAGTGTACTTCTGCTTTGCTTAATACAACTCTTGCTATTTACTTCTGTCTCTTGATTGAATTCTTTCCTTTGGGGGATAAGAACAAAGGAAGCTGCCATTCTGGTGGTAGCAGTTCTAGCATGCTCTTGTAGCAGGCTCCTGCAGTGTGCGTGCGTTCCCTAGTGCTCAGCTCTCGCAGTGCGGATGGCTTCTCCAGCACCATGGTCCCAACTCCCGTCGCGCCTCCAGAGCCCCATTCCTGCCACGACAGGGGCCAACCCCACCCAGCAGCCCTAGCTTCCCCTGAATTCTCCCCACCGTGGGTGGCTTCGTCTCAGGGTGCCTCCATTGAATGGCTTTTCTTGACACTCTAGATGGGAGGTTTGTTTTTTGCTTGTTTAATTTATATTTTGGCTGTGCTGGGTTTTCATTGCAGCACTCAGGCTTTCTCCAGTTGCTGCAAGCAGGGGCTACTCTTCATTGCATTGCATGGGCTTCTCCTTTCAGTGGCTTCTCTTGTTGTCGAGCGTGAACTCTAGGCGTGCAGACTTAAGTAGTTGTGGCACACAGGTTTAGTTGCCACAAGGCACGTGGGATCTTCCTGGACCGGAGATGCAACCCTTGTCCCCTGCATTGCACGGCGGATTCTTAACCACTAGACCACCAGGGAAACCCCAGATGGTAGGTTCTTGACACAGTCTGGAGGGCAATTTCCAGCAACTACCATTGTTATCGAAAGTTCAGCTTCTCTGTACACCAGTGCCAAAGAGAATCTCAGTTTTGGGTGAAATAGACAAGGAGAGCTTTATTACTTTGCCAGGCAAAGGGCTTCTGCCTTGAAAAACTATGTGTCCCAACCCCCAGGAAAAACGTTTTTTAAGACACCCAACTCTCTTTTGGTGCGGGAGTGGGGCAGTTGAGGTGGGAGTCTTACTGCACAGCTTGCCCATTGGCTCTGCCTCCTGAGTCCCGTTGCTTCTTTACATCTGGCAGCTTGGGTGGGCTGGAGAAGGGCTCCATGCACACGTCTTCAAATGCCTCATCTTCCCTGAAGGCTAGCCCCTCAGTCACTGGGGCCTGAGGCAGTGCCATTTGGCTGGTGAAACCACACTCGCCCAATGTCTTGCTGTCGTCCAGAAGCTGGTCGTCCTTGTACAGCCGCTGCTCGTCCGGCGGCCGCTTGAGAATACCCTGAATGATGCGCTTCAACTCGAACACGGTGCTCGACTCGGTGGCCTCAGTGAAGATGGAGGTCTTGCCGCGCCGGACCATGAGGAACACATCCATTGCAGCTGCCTTTCCCCCTTGACTGCCAATCCAGGAGGACTGCATGAAGGGTTTTATAACAGGGACTCAAAGGTGGGTCTCTGACAAGGTCAGGGCGTGTGCAGGGCTCACGCTACCTTTTCTCAGGTGATCTCATCTTGATGAGCTGCTCTGATCTCTTTAATCAGGTGGTTTCTTGATGGCTCCTCCCTTGATTAGCAACTCCCTTGATTCTGCCCTTTGGAACTCAGGGAAGGTCATGGAGGCTGGAGTCTCACAAGAAATGTTGCAGCATGCAGCTTAGGTAGGTAGGAGCAGAGAAATGGGGCCAGGGGCCAAGTAACAGAAAAGTCACGCATCTTGTAAACAGCGGGAGTCCACGGGCAGATAAGGAAAGCGGGCACTTTCAGACTGGCAGGAAATTGGGTGGTAAGGGACTGAGCAGGCACCAGGAAAGGTGAGGAAAGTCAGGAATCCCCTGCATCCAATGTAACCTTTTGCTCATTGTGCTGTCATTATGATAAGATTAGCCTGGCAGATAAGAATAGTCATCAGGCATGCATACCATGGCACTTCTACTCTAAGCTAAATAGGGACAAAATCCCTCCTTTCCTCAGTAAAATGGAGCTGGGATGAAAAAAATCAGTAAGGTCAATGCCCAAACTCCTCATTCCCCGGGGAATATTCAGCCCCTTCATTCTTACCCTCCTCGAAACCAACTTGACAAAGAAACCCAGATTGGCAGCTCTTCACCTGCCAGACCACTCTCCCTTTGAGAATGTATCCTTGCTTAAATAAACTTTTGCTTTACTTTCTAGACAAGTCTAGAAATGTTGCCCAAGTTGTCTGTGGGAAGATGGAAAAGCTAACTTTAATCTGCTCAGAATAACAAAGAAGAATCATTTACTCGTTTAAAGAGTGGACTTGGGGACTTCCTTAGTGGTCCAGTGGCTAAGACTCCAAGCACCCAATGCAGGGGCCCCTGGTCAGGGAACTAGATCGCACATGCCACAACTAAAGAACCTGCACACTGCAACGAAGACCCGGCATAGCCAGATACATAAATAAATATTAAAGAGTTGTGGCTTAGCTGGTTAAGAATCCGGCTGCAGTCCGGGAGACCTGGGTTTGATCCCTGGATTGGGAAGATCCCCTGGAGAAGGGAAAGGCTACCCACTTCAGTATTCTGGCCTGGAGAATTCCATGGACAGTACAGTCCATAAGGTTGCAAAGAGACACAACTGAGTGACTTTCACTCACTCACTTTCTTAACGTCTGTGCTTCATCTCTGAATTCTTTTGAAATGAAGAAAGAACCTGGAATTCACTGACAACAGAAATGGGACAGAAGGGCCTCTGTGCCCGGGAGACCCACAGGGCCACACTCGGTTTCACCACTGGTGCAGCGCTAAGTGAGTTCTGTGCCATCCAATCACCCATGGCTGCGTAAGTCTCCAACAAGCTGGATCTCAGCTCTGGTGCTCCCCCTCAGCTTAGGGAGGTGGTAGATATACCTTATATATGCAGATCCTATATTCTTTAGAGCTCGCTTTATTTTTTGGCTAGTAGCCAATCTCTCTTTACTGAGATCCCCTGTTATAGTTGATAATTCTATATGTTAAAATTTAGCTGTTCCAACTGCTCTGTGGCTTCCATCTCCTCATTTGATCCTGAGTGATACAGGGTCTCTGACCGACATAACAAGGATGAAAGACACCCAGCCTCTCACCATTATACAGTGTGGTGTGCTAAACCATAGTGGGGCAGAGTGTGGGAACAGTGAAGATGAAGAGGGGATCAGGGCAAGTTCATCATCATTAACACCTCCTCTTGTCTTTCTTCCCACATCACTAAATCTCTGAGTGGCATCAGTTCTCTCTCACAAGTCTGATCCACGCTCTCCACCCCACTGCTACTTTGCATGCCAGGTCATCATCATCTCTGTCTGGTTTACTGTGAGGGACCTCTAAATATCCTCTTTGCATCCACCCCTTGCTCACTTCAGCCTGTTCTTCACAATGAGGCCAGAGGAATTCTTTTTTTTTTTTTTTTCAGAGGAATTCTTCTAAAAGCCAAATTTGAGTCCTTGATTAAAAGCTGTTGGGACTTCCCTGGTGGTCCAGTGGCTAAGACTCCAAGTTCCCAATGCAAGGGGCCCAAATTTGATCCCTGATCAGGGACTAGATCCCACATGCTGCAACTTAAGAGTTCACATGCTACATCTAAAGATTCCACATGCCACAACTTAAAAAAATATTCCACGTGCTGCAACTGAGGATTCATGACACAAGTTAGAATGAAGATCCCATGTGTAGCAGCTAAGACCCAGTGGAGCCAAATAAATAAATAACTTAGAAAAAAACAACTGTTGTTGGCTGCCCATTGCCCTTAGGTTAGCATCTGACTCATTTGTCCACAAGGTTTGGAAAGATCCCGCCTCTCCTCACCTTTCCAGTTTTATCTTGTGACATCCTTTCCTACATCCTTTCTCTCCAGCCACATGGAACATCAGTTTCTTTGGGGACCTATATAAGTACTGTTTCCTCTTCTAGGAAACCCTCTCCCTAACACCACCCTCACCCTTTCACTCTCATCTTTGCTTCCTTAGCTCATCTTTAACCTCAGCTAAGATATCTACTCCTCCGAGAAGACTTTCCAAGCCCATCTCCCTCTGATCCTGCTAGGTGGCTCTTGTGTATAGTTCAAGCAAACCCTGTACTTCTCTCTATAATAAGAGATACTTATCACAGGTTGGTAACTGTTAATATGTCTCCTCACTACTGTGACGTGAAATTCATACTTTACGGCAAGAAAGGAAAATTTTAAACATAAAAACTTTTCCCTGACTTCTCTCTGCCCTCTACTGTGCCTTGTGTATCTGCATTATGTTTTGACCAAACCGTCCCTTAGGCAGACATACCTGCTCAGCAATAAAGAACAGCATTCTCCCAACACCAACACAACAGCTTCTTAAAATATGACATTCCTTCCTGATTTTGTAAGGCATTATGATGACCCATCACTGTGTACTTGCAGATCGGGATTGTGTAAACTGTTAACAGTATATCATTTAATGTATAGTCCTCTGTCCCGAAGAACTTACTTAACTGGGCTTTCACTTCTAATGGGCAGAACAGTTCTCAGAGTTTTCTGAGAGGCCGTTCCTGGGTTATAATCCTCAATATGACTTGGATAAAAATTTTGATTTCTTTCGTAGATGTTTGTATGTGTTCAGTTACTCAGTTGTGTCTGCCTTTTGCAGCCCCGTGGACTGTAGCCCTCCAGGCTTCTCTGCCTAGGGAATTTTCTAGGCAAGAGTACTGGAGTGGGGTACCATTTCCTCCTTCAGGGAATCTTCCCGACCCGGTGATCAAACTCACATCTCTTGCATCTCCTGCATTGGCAGGCAGAGTCTTTACCACTAGCACCACTAGGACCGATTAATTTTTTGTTGACAGACACTCTAAGCTCCGTGAGGACAGAAACTCTCGTTCACCCTTTTTACCTCAGGATCTATTATAGTGCCTGATACATATTAGGGGCTCAGTAAATGTTGGGGGGACAAAAAGAATGAGTAAGCAAAGGTGACAGGGAGAATATGTGAAAGCATGTCATGTAGTCAGAGTGTGGGGATATGGTGTTACCGAGTCCAAGCTTATTCTGCTCACCACATGACAGGCCAATTAACTGAGAGACAAAGTGTTGAAGCAAGGAATATGACTTTATTTGGAAAGCTGGCTGACCATGAAGACAGCAGACTACCATCTCAAAATAACCGTCTTATCGAGGTCTGGATACCAGGTTCTTTTACAGAACAGAGAGCAGGGAGGTGAGGAGGTAAAGTAAAAAAGGCCATTAATCTTACAAATATCTCCTCGAACAACTGGCCTGGGGAAGGGGAGGTGTTGATTTCTTCCTTCCTGTAGCCATCCGTAGGTGGACAGGCGAGCAGGGTGAGCTTGGACTCTGTAACACTTTTAGAGAACAAATCAAAGGGGAAAGCAAAGGTTAAGGTAAAAGAAACAGATCCAACATGGAGTCGGTTCTTCCCTGTAATAATTGGTAGGAGTGGCTGGATCTGAAGGGCCCTGTAATTAATACTAAGCAATTGGTACTGCTGCTGCTGCTAAGTCGCTTCAGTTGTGTCCGACTCTGTGCAACCCCATAGATGGCAGCCCACCAGGCTCCTGCATCCATGGGGTTTTCCAGGCAAGAGTACTGGAGTGGGTTGCCATTGCCTTCTCCAAGCAATTGGTACTATAAAATGTAAATTAAACACCCCACATTGGCTGCTGGTGATTGAAGTGGGCTTCCTGTTCATATGTTTGTTCTGACTAGCAGTTTTAAGAAACTTTGAATGTGAATGACATTCCGTTTGTCACAATTCCCACTGGTCCCTACATTAGGGCCTCCTTTCATCATTGAAGCTAGCTGCCAGTCCCACTGAGATCTGGGTTTGCTATCCCTGCAGATGTGTAAGAGGTAATTTAAGGAGGGAAAGAATATAAGAAGAGGATTTAAGATAGGAATTCTAGAAAGACAGATCCGAAATAGGAGGGAAGGGGGCAGGGCACAAACTTTAAAGAATGACATAACCCTAGAATACAACATAAACTGATTAGAACCAAATTAAGTCCAAGATGGTAGATCAGTCAACTTCGACTAGACCTGGAGCCTCATCATACCTTCATTGTAGCACATCACCTAGCTAAGGGACACACCCACAAGCACAGTTCAGAGAACCATCAAAGATTTAAAAGTGGGCCTGGCTGTGGCCCAATTCCTGGAAAGCCCCACCCCATTCCCTGAGATAGTGGAAATAATCCTCTTATTAGCTTATGAAATTACCCAGCTGGTAAAAACTAACCTTGCTGTATTTTGAGGCTGCTCTCTCCTTCTGAGACTACCCACACGCTGCGGAGTGTGTTTCTCTCTATATAAATCCACTTCTTACCTATCACTTGTCTCTCACTGAATTCTTCCCGTGATGAGACATCAAGAACCTGAGTTTCATTAGGTGCT